ACCGGCCTCAAGCAATAGTCCCTTGGACTCTGCGTTCACGCTCCCAGGTCTCTAAGACCAACTCTAATCTATCTTCCTTTTCAGGTCCCTCAAGAAACACCTTTCCACGTTGTGCGCAGCCGGGAAGTGATAACCCACCATCATATCCGTAACAGCACATGTTTTCTTACATGGGAGGATTCTAGAATGTTACCCTCATTATCAGCCTGCGTTGATTGGATACGAAAGAGTCAATCAGCGTGCAGCAAAGCAATCATGCTCTAATCCAATCTATGCTTCACTAACAGTCATGTAGTTGTCCATTAACGTAATGGTTGTTAATGCTTAAAATCATATCAGTTTACTGAACTATATTCCAAATTGTGTTTGGTTGTTGATTCTAAACAAATACTTTAAGTAGTCAGTCAGTCGTGCTGTTACGGGTATGAGGGCGGTTGTCACTTCCCGGCTGCCCACACCGTGGAAGGTTGTTTCTTGAGGAGCCTGAAAAGGAAGATAGATTAGTGTTGGTGCGTGACCGCAGAGCCCAAGGGACAACTGCTTGAGGCCGGTCACGCACGGCCTTTTTAAGAAATGTTTTTTGAGGATTAGCTCCGCTCTTAAAAGCCCTTAGTGGGCACCCTTACCCAAGGAGACGGAAATCCGTGAGTTAGGGGAGGTGTGACATTTTTATGGCCGACCTCTTCTAACCCTTCCTTCCTTGTGAGAAGGCAGCATCGCTGCAGATGCTGGTTGTCCGAGGGAAACACCTTACTGCTATCACACCCCTCTGCAGTAGTCAGCAGTACGACTTCGCCCTCAGACCTTGAATAGCTGCTTTTAGTCTCATCGTTCTCCAATCGACCTGTCTGGCATGGTAGAACCTTGAGGAACATATGTTCCAGCCAGTATAGCTCGGTTGGGTCATCACGATAGGCAAGCCCGACCACCACGTCAAGGTAGCAGCTACGGTCGGTAATACTTTAAGTAGGATATATATCATTCGGAACTTTGTGATTTATGTAATCAAACATTTGATATTTGTTCAATGATTAACATTTATTCTATCTGTTGTACAAAAAAAAGATAATTGACTTTATTATTTTAGTCCAGACATATGGGATGTATTGACAAGTGGCACTACATTATCGTGTCCTATTCGTGTAGCAGAGAGTATACATCAATTTCAATTGTGGCTTCTTCGCCTTCTTAGTGCACCGGCACCAATTCCTGGCTGTACATGTGTGTATGTAAGTGTTTGTTTTTTGTTTTTTTATTGTTTAGTTTTCGTTCGTTTATTTTGTCTGAAGCATATTTTCCCCTGTTAATGTACTACTCTGTGTACACTTTTTTTTTAATGGTAGACAGTGCCACAGAACTTGACGATCAACGAAGTCAAATGTCGCTTTAACATCCGGGAAGACAACTACTGTCGGATAACTAAACGTGTGTCTATGTCTCAGGACCTATTGTAGTATGAAAATATGGTCTATACAGCCAACGTCCAGGTGTAAGACCGGCCTGGTTATCTCAAGTCTGCTGTTCACGAGCTTTAGTTAGGTGTCAAAGTATTATCGAAGCTAATATTTTACAAACTTTATAAGTCAAACTGATTAAACTTTGAAATAATAACATTAAGCTTGTGAGATTTTTCAGGGGTTGACCTTCTACCAGGAAAGTCGCTTACTGATCTAGAATATGCTGATGACATAGTTCTATTCGGTGAAGACGCTGACAAAATGCAGAGTCTTCTGACTGCCATAAGCAACAATGCAAGCATATTCGGGATGCGGTTCTCACCCTCGAAATGCAAAATGTTGCTTACAGATTGGCTTGAGTCAGCACCTGAACTAGTGATAGGGAGTGAAGTAGTCGGGGGTGTTGATCACTTCACTTATCTGGGAAGTCTCATCAGTGCTGATGGCCTGGTGACTGACGAAATCTCAGCACGGATACAGAAGGCTCGATTGGCTTTTGCCAACGTGCGTTACTTATGGCGTAGGCGAGATATCCGTTCTCTAATCAAAGGACGAGTGTACTGCGCTGTAGTTCGCTCCGTTCTCCTATATGGCTGTAGAAGATGTTCATATGTTACTATTATTCGATCATAGATGTCTAAGACGCATTGCTCGTATATCGTGGGACAACCGACTAAGCAATGCTGTCGTTAAGAAACGAGTACTAGGTAAGAATGGCAGATCAGTAGATGAAGTAGTGAAACTTCGTCAGTTGAGGTGGTTGGGACATGTGTTACCTATGGCTAACCACCGACTGCCTCGACGAGCTATGTTTTGTGGTGTAGGAGTAGGTTGGAAGAAATCTAGGAGCGGCCAGACCAAAACACGACAGAAGCCCATGAAGTCATTGACTAGTGGACTGAGTTATGTTGGTAAGAGTCAACTACCTGGTCGGGGCCCGCGAGATGATAGTAATTGATGGTTAGAGACTTTGAACGACATGACTTAGAACCGTTAGCAATGGCGCAAGTGCATCCATTCTTTGAGCTCTCTCAAATCCTAATCTTCTGGAATCGTCAGCACCTCTACTTTTGTCTTTCTAAACTTTTCTCACTGAATTATACTTCTTGAATAATATCTTCGAACCCTAGTCTTCTTCATTACCATTAATACCTCCACTATCTTTATCACTGTGGGATTCGATTTGACATTCGCGTCTCTGTGCTAATGTGGTATGGCAACATGAACTTATGTACATACGTCCGAAGTTTCACGTTGCAACTGACTGACTTGAAATAATAAGACTAACTTTTTATAAACGTTTAAATAGTCGGTACAACTGTTGACCATCCAATATTTTCGTAAATATTTAATGTCGAATAAAGTGACATCAGGCACTTATTATCATCTTTAATATTTTCCTTAATTTCATATCATTTTGTCATCTTCCTTTACCGTGTGAATGATGGTTGTTGCATTTAGTAAATGTGTCCGTCAGGGTAATCATCACAGTGATTTGTGTCAAACCTGTTCCGGTTTAGACAGTAACTACCTAAGACTGTGTATGAGGTTGTGCAACTCCGTGAATTGACCGAGTTAGACAGTAACACCGTTAAATAGCGGCTCAGTCGTCTAGTGGTTAGGGCGTTCGCGCACAATTCCGAAGGTCCTGGGTCCGAATCCTGCGGAGTTCAGGAGTCGTGGGTGCGCACTGCTGAGGAGTCCCATACCAGGATGAAACGGCCGTCTTTCAGTGCTTCCAGGTTTCTAATGGTTGTCTAACATTGATCGATTCATGGTTTCAAAAATGTGTACCTCAACCCTGATATTAAAAATTTTATGTTCTGTAATTTACTTGTCTGTAAAACTCATAAAAGTCTTCATTTTGTTCATCGTCTGTTCTGAATTATTGGTATTTTTGTTTTCTGTTTTAATTAAAATCCAGCTTTCATTCCAACCGCCAACCGTCAGTTCACCTTTATGCTTTGCTGTCCCGGATCAATCACGTCTTCCATTGGTTGATTTTCCTGTGACTCTACCTTTTGAAATTATGGGCATCAGAAAAGCTCTACGCTTAATTATGTGTCTTCTATTGGAACAAAAAGTTAGTTTACTTAAATTGAAATAATCAAAATCTTTTGTAGATAGGTAGGTAGGTAGGTAGGTAATTGACATTTTTGTAATAATTTAATGTTTAGCTAATAATCAAGTGTTATTAATAGTTAGTGACATTAGCTAGCTAGCTAATTAGGTTGAACTTGGGGGGAAGTGAGATCTAAGTCTGCTGTCTATCGATTTTCTCTTTCTCCTGGTGATCGATTGGATTATGAAAACGTCAACATCTGGAGGGAAGCATGGTATCAACTGGACAGTTAGGACGCAACTGGACGATCTGGACTTCGCAGATGACTTGGCTCTTCTATCGCACACTCAACAACAAATGCAAGAGAAGACGACCAGTGTAGCAGCAGCCTCTGCAGCAGTAGGTCTCAACATACATAAAGGAAAAAGCGAAATTCTCCGATGCAACACAACATGCACCAAACAAATCACTCTTGATGCAGATGCCTTGGAGGACGTTAACACCTTTACATATCTAGGCAGCATCATCGACGAGAAAGGTGGATCGGATGCAGATGTGAGGGCACGGATTGGCAAAGCAAGGGCTGCATTTCTACAGTTGAAAAATATCTGGAACTCCAAACAACTTTCAACCAAAACCAAAATCAGGATATTCAATACAAATGTCAAGACAGTTCTACTGTATGGAGCGGAAACATGGAGAACTACCAAATCCATCATCCAGAGGATACAAGTGTTTATTAACAGCTGTCTACGCAAAATACTTCGGATTCGTTGGCCAGACACCATCAGCAACAGCGAACTGTGGGAGAGAACAAACCAGATTCCAGTGGAGGAGGAAATCAGGAAGAAGCGGTGGAAGTGGATAGGACACACATTGAGGAAAGCACCTAACTGCGTCACGAGACAAGCCCTCACATGGAACCCTGAAGGCGAAAGGAAAAGAGGAAGGCCAAAGAATACATTACGCCGAGAAATAGAGAAAGATATGAGAGGAATGAACAAACATTGGACAGAACTGGAGAGAGAAGCCCAGGACAGAGTTGGTTGGAGAAAACTGGTGGGCGGCCTATGCTCCATTGGGGGTAACAGGCGTAAAAAGTATCTATCGATTGCATCTGAAGCTTAGTTCACTTTCCTTTTGCGTAACCCCGCACCATTATACCAATCCATTGACAATAGATTGTTATCATCCATGACTTTGTCTCCATTTGACCCTGAATGATACAATAATTTGACGGAGTGTAATGGCTTACTTGCCTCAAATGCCCTGGTACCGCCGAGAGTGGGTAGAGTTCACTTTCCCCCGCGAAGTTTTATTTTATCTGACCGGTTCCTACTGTCTCGTGATAACTTCATCGAGAAATTGTGTGTAACGTGATGAATGGAAATCGGAGAGGCAGTTTTCCAATAAAATATTTACACATTGTCAACAGACATCCGTTTACAATACAAGCAAGTTACTCATTGTTTTTCTTCACATGTCTTCTTCTCTTCAAAATACTTTGAACGTGCCATGCAGTTCGTTTGTACATTCATTTCTCCGATGTTAGTCAGCCAGTTACAACGTAGGGTAGTCGGTGATAGGGCATTCGTAACACGTCCCGACCACCTCAACTGGTGCTGTTTCAATACTTCATCTATTGATCTGCCATCCTTACCTATTACTCGTTTCCTAATGGCATCATTGCCTATTTGGGTTGTCCCACGGTACACAAGCAATGCTTCTAAGACATCTATGATCGAAGACAAGCAATCTACGAATGTCCTCTACTCTTACCAGTCATGTTTCGCATCCATATAGGAGAACGGAGCGAACTACTGCACAGTACACTCGACCTTTGGTTAGCAAACAGATATCTCGCCTACTCGCCTACCAATCTTCACAACCCCTGTAATGAAAATTACCTATGCTCACTAGTGACTAGCTTTGTGAGGAATCTTCTCCGAGTTCTAGTGGGAAGACGTGACCAGTGAAGTTCAACCTGTTCGGGTGTAGGCAGTGTCTACCGAAGACTGTGTATGAGGTTGCGCAACTCCGTGAATTTGATCAAGTTAGACATTAACACTGTTAGATACCGGCTCAGTGGTCTAACGATTAGGGCGTTCGCGCACAATGCCGAAGGTCCTGGGTTCGAATCCTGCGGGATTCAGGAGTCGTGGATGCGCACTGCTGAGGAGTCCCATACCAGGACGAAACGGCCGTCTTTCAGTGCTTCCAGGTTTCTAATGCTGGTGATCTAACATTGATCGACTTACGGTTTCAAAAATGTGTAACTTACCAATCTTCACAACCCCTGTAATGAAAAATACTCCATAAATGACGTAAATTGGCAAAAGCCAATCGAGTCTTCCGTTTCCGATGTTGGCTTCGCATAAGTGACACTCCACTGCATACCATCTGAGAAGCCGCCTTGAGATTGTTGTCCAACACAATAATATTGTCGAATCTTTCAGATTCATAGTCTTCATAGTCTTATTGAATTGCGATCATGTTTTATCTTTTCGATAATGCCCTTATTATTCCTGCATATTGATCATTGCCAAGATTAAACAATACACTTGTTATTATTATTATTATTTCATAATTCATTACTCCGTTATAAATTTGAGTATAAGTAAACACACATGACACTTATAAATTTAAACATTCTTTTTTCCAACCAACTGAGATTCTAATTATTGAATACAAATAAACTTAACCTATGATCGACCAATTTGCTCTCGTGTGCTATGACGGGTATGAGGGTGGTTGTCACTTCCCGGCTGCCCACACCGTGGAAGGTTGTTTCTTCAGGAATTTGTAAAGGAAGGTAGATTAGTGTTGGTCATGGAGACCTGAGTGCGTGAGCGCAGAGTCCAAGGGACAACTGCTTGATGCCGGTCACATGCGGCCTTTGTATTGAAGGTTTTTTGAGGATTAGCGCCGCTCTTGAAAGCCCTTAGTGGGCACCCTTACAGCCGGAAACGGAAATCCGTGAGGTAGGGTGAGGTGTGACATTTTCTTAGGGTCGACCTTTTCTAACCCTTCCTTCCTTGTGAGAAGGCAGCATCGCTGCAGATGCTGGTTGTCCGAGGGAAACACCTTACTGCTATCACACCCCTCTGCAGTCAGTCAGCAGTACGACTTCGCCCTCAGACCTTGAATAGCTGCTTTTAGTCTCATCGTTCTCCAATCGACCTGCCTGGCATGGTAGTAGAACCTGCAGTAACATAAGTTCCAGCCAATATAGCTCGGTTGGGTCATCACGATAGGCAATCCCGACCACCACATCAAGGTAGCAGCTTCGGTCGGGATATATTAATCAATGTATTTTAGTAGTAGGACATTTTAAGGATTATGAAAAAAAATTTTTACGTTTTTGTCAAATTAATCTTTCATCTTATAATAAATAAAAATACAGTTTCTCTATTTTTTTTTTACATCCATTGAGGTTATCTATCATGTTTTTAATTTATATTTGAAAATTATCTATTCTTAATAATTTTTTGTAATAATATCTTTCTGTTATTGATTTTTGTTTTTCCCTACCAATCAACACACCAACACACCCACACACACACAAAAAAAAAACACGTACACTCATCAAGGTAGTTCTACAATCATCGGATTATAATAAATTATCTTTAACAATTTTATCATTGGTTGCATTACTCTATCCTTTACAATATATGTTCCCAGTTATCCCATTACTGCCTGCATGTATGCCTGATGCAGAACAGGTTAGTGTTTATTTGGTGTTTTTCCCTTTAAATGTCTAGATATATTTATTTATTGAAAATTGAATATGTAACTCATGTCATTCAAGGTCTCTAACTAATCGACTAGTTAGAGACCTTGAATGATATGGCTCGAAACCGTTTTCAATGGCGCCGATACATTTATTCTTTGTTGTTCTCTCTCAAATCCTAATCTTTTGGATTCTTCAACACCTCCAGTTTTGACTTTCTAACCTTATCTCACTGAATTATACTTCTTGAATAATATATTCTAATCCTAACCTCTCCGATTACTTCGATTATACCTTTACTACCTCTACTACTATTGATAAATATATCTCTCTGTGCTAATGTGGTATGGCAACATGAACTGATGTACTTACGTACAAAGTTCTACGTTGTATCTGACTAACTGAATATGTCAGTCTAACCTGCGTGAACGTCATGTCTGTTAGTCAGTTCATGTTGGTGTTCTTTACGTTAAATTGAACATTTCTGGAAAGAAATTACTAATAAGAGATGTAATTGATACAATGAGAAGGATTATAGATAAATTGTGTTGAAATATTATTCGAAATCATTAATCAATCTGATTGTTAGACCACACCATTAGAAATCTGGAAGCATTGGATGGCCGTTTCGTCCTGCTATGCGACTCATCAGTGGCAGTGCGCATCCACGACTCTTGCACCTCGCAGGATTCGAAACCGGGACCGTTGGTATTCTGCGCGAACGTCTAACCATCGGACCACTGGGCCGGCATCCCATGGTGTTAATGTCTAATTCTGATCGATCTAGGGATTTTGCGTGATTTCACCCATTTGTCTTTTTGATAGTTACTGCCTACACTCGACAAGGTTGAACTCCATTGATTGATAATTTCAAATGTGTAAAAACACAAACCTCCAAAACTTTGCCCGGAAATATTATTCCTCTGAATGATTCCAATGTATATATATATATAATGGGTCAGGTAGAAGTGACCTTACGAGATGGCCATTTTAATGACTATCGAAAATGTACTGAAGTATAAGTACATACCATCGGTCAAGAATGGGTCTCCTTTTCTAAGGAGATGGAATTTATTTATAAACAAGTAGACCAGTAATTGTATAAATAGACCTTTTCTTCTGATCTAGCCTTCCTAACTAGCCAGTCGTTGTTGAGCAGAGGGTTGACACGTATCGCCATCAAATCGTGAGACAACGGCACATCATAACATGTTCTACATTTCGATTGAATGTGCCATGTATATTCTGTAATTCGCTATGGTAGCGGATACTACTCGCATCGTGGTCCGTTAAGTAGTATGCATCTGATACAACAAAATACCCCAAAATCTGTTTACCTACTTCTCGACTGTAAAGATAACAAAGCCTAGCTTACATCTGTGTAGAATACATATAGTGAATGGAAATCTCAATTTCTTTTTTACGTACAAACTGTCTTTGTGGTGGTTACTATTTTTGATTTCAGTAGTTTGCATCAAAGTGAAATATCTCACTATTAATGAACTATATAATTGATATGATCAGAATACAATCAAGTGTTACCTCGCACTGAATGTCATAATTCAATTAATCTATTATCTTCGCATGTAAGACCAAACGTCACAGATGCGCATTACTAAAGGGGTCCCGTACTAGGATGAATGGGCCGTCCACTGCTTTTAGGTTTCTAATGAATGATGGTTTAACACTGGTCAGTTCATTTTTCACTAATCAATTCGTTTGATATATAAATGTTCAATAACTCTAGTGACTGAATAATTTTCCTCATTATTTCTCATTTGTTTTATTTTTTTTTCTGTATGAAAAAAAATTTTTCCAGCTTCTATTAGCACCTACTCCATATTTAATCGGTGTCCCGACAGCATTTTATACTGCACGAAAAATTTTCCGTATGCCAAAAGATGTTTGGTTAGCTGATTTGGATACTCGTGAAGTATGTTTAATTCGTTAACTGTTTTTGGAAAAAAAAAATATAGTTTTTCATTTCTTATGGTGTCCCGCTGAAGTTATGTAAGCAGATTTAATGTCAACCACCGGTTTGTTGCTTCTCTGTAGTATAATTAGTTAGTCAGTCAGTCATTTGCAATGTAGAACAATCTTTGCCAGATCGAATCCCAGAGTAGTAGTAGTAGAGGCAGTAGCAGTATTTTGTAGTTTCAATAAAACTTAAATAGTCTTCACAACAACCCCGCAATGCAAAATTACATGTGAATAGCTTGGTGAGGAATTTTCTCCGAGTTCTAGTGGGAAGTCGTGACCAGTGAAGTTCAAACCTGTTCGGATGTATACAGTGTATGAGGTTGCGCAACTCCGTGAATTTGATCAAGTTAGACAATAACACCGTTAGATACCGACTCAGTGGTCTAACGGTTAGGTTGTTCGCGCACAATACCGAAGGTCTTGGGTTCGAATCCTGCGGGGTGCAGGAGTCGTAGACGCGCACTGCTGATGAGTCCCATACCCGGACCAAACGGCTGTCCAGTGCTTCCAGGTTTCTAATGGTGATCTAACATGGATCGATTCATGGTTTCAATAAAACTTAAATAATCTTCACAACAACCCCGCAAAGTACGCTACTTTTTTTGTCTCTTCCAAGGGCTTTTCTATCATGTATAAATAAGCTCCATTTGTGTGTTTGTTGACCCCTTATTTTTGGGTACTTCTAGAATACACTTTCTAAGCCTCATCAAGACTTCGTGATATAATTAGCAGGGCTGGGGACAATCGGATCAGAATAACGTATCGTATCACTGTATCATTGGTCTTCGCTCTCGTTGACCGAGTAATGTGAACACGTAATCGTTTCAAGCACATCACTATTGTTATTATCAATGTTGTAGAGTGTCGTTTTGAAGAAAGTATATGTATTTACAATTGTTTATTCAGTGTGTTAAAATTATTTACACTCTTGCTCTACTATACCGATGTATGATCATAGCCTCTTCAAATTAATTAATGCAAAGGCAATTTATGACTATGATTTTTAAAATATTAGAGATTATCATCAGCCGACTTCAAAAGAGTGAGGAAGGTGACATCAACATAGACAGAGATGTATTCATACAAACCTTCCTAATGAATTTTATGTCGAAATGAAATACTTTTTGTGACTATCACTATACACTGTTTGGAGCATTGAATTATCCCCGGAAAGAGACTAGAGAGAGACAATATTTTGCCCAACCATCATTGGATAGAAACCTCAGAGAAATATGTGGAAAGTTCGGGATCAAAATCCTGCCGTAGACAAGCCGCTTCTGTAATGAGCATGGTTCTTGAACCTTTCAGAAGCTCAAGGTCACGAATAACTTTATACAGACCCTCATTTTTCATTACACAAACTAACTTTGCAGTAAAACATTCTTCTACTTTGTGCAGTGTAGATTTAGTCTGGCGGTTAATAGAAGCGAAGAGGAATTCAGAGCTTGTCGTTCATCTATCTATCAGATTGATCACACTCAATACATCGACTTTTCATCATTAAATCTGTGTCAATCTTTTTTATTCTCCATATTTCACTTTAGTTATCTTACCCCATGGTGGTTGATGAAATACCTGAGTTGCCTGAAATTGAAAGTAACATTCTCATTAGTCATTTGAACAAGGTAGGTGTACCATTGTTATGTTGAATTTTTTTAATACTTCTCATGATAATTGTGTTCTTTTATGGGTGGTATGTGGGTGAATGTTGCTTCCCGGTCGCCCGCGACATGGAAGAGTTCTGGTTGTCCGAAGGGGCATCGGCCTCATGACTTCCGAAGGAACTCGGCTTTCATCATGAGACGTCATAACTCTTTTAAATGAAGACTTTCTAACTCTCAGAGTAGAGTTTATATAGTTTGAATTATTGTTTCTTGTTAACGCTTTTTTGGCAAGTTAGTTTTTTCCGGAATGGAGTCGCCAACCCCAAACCCAACCCTACTCTTTAATCCGGGCTTGGGACCCCTAACGGTTTACAGGCGGAGTTGGGACATGTGTTACGTATGCAGAACCACCCACTGCCTCGTCGAGCAATGTTTTGCAATGTAGGAGTAGGTTGGAAGAAAGGTTGGGGGCGGTCAGACCAAAACATGGCAGAAATCCATGAAGTCATTGACATGTGGACCGAGTCATGTTAGTAGATGTAGGCTTCCTGGTTGGAGTTGGAGAGACGAAAGTCATTGATGGCTAGAGACCTTGAATGACATGGCTCAGAATCGTTTGCAATGGCGCAAGTGCATCCACTCTTTGTGTTCTCTTAAATCCTAACCTTCTGAATTCCTCATCACCTTTATTTTTCTCTTTCTAAACTTATTTCACTGAACTATACTTGAGTATACTTGAGTAACATCTTCAAACCGTAATGTCTACGATTACTACTAATACTATTACTACCTCTACTATTATGGGATTTGAATTGACAATTGAATATGTGTGTGTGTGCTTATGTGATATGGCAACTTGAACTGATGTGTGTGCGTACATACACATGCATACGTACAAAGTTCCATGTTGCTGTTGATGATGATGATGATTTTAATTTCTAAATTCTTTACCATTTTTTTTCTTATTTTTCCGCCTTATCCACTCCCGAATCAGTTACTTCATGAATTTTCAAATTCACCACATATGGATTTAGATTTGTCCGATTCTTCGAAACATTGGTCTCCTTCTATAGCACGTGCAACTGCATTAGAACTATCGAAATTTGATCCTTTATTGTATACTCTTACTAAAGACTCTGTGGATGTTGCTATACGTGTATGTATGGTAAGTGTAATTGGTAGTTTTTAATGGTTCTCGGTTACGCATATCTGATACTGACTAACTAAGCGGAAAGACAAGACTGGAATAGAAAGTCTATTTGGTAGCTAAATAAATTTATATATATATATATGTATATTTTTTTTCTTGAAACCATGAATCGATCAATGTTAGACCACCATTAGAAACCTGGAAGCACTGGACGGCCGTTTCGTCCTGGTATGGGACTCCTTAGCCGTGTGCATCCACGATCAAGTTTGACATTAACACCGTTAGATACCGGCTCAGTGGTCCGATGGTTAGGCGTTCGCCTACAATACCGAAGGTCCTGGGTTCGAATCCTGCGGGGTGCGGGAGTCGTGGATGCGCACTGCTGATGAGTCCCATACCAGGACGAAACGGCCGTCTTTCAGTGCTTGCAGGTTTCTAATGGCGGTCTAACATTGATCCATTCATGATTTCAAAAAATGTGTAACTTAACAATCTTCACAACCCCGTAGTGCATATATATATACATATATATATATATATATATATATATATATATATATATATATATATATATATATATAAAGAAAATGAATCTGCTTCTTGGCCAATGATATGTGTTCGTCCTTTTGGATTGAATAACCTTATTTGTTCACTTCTGATTGGCTGACTATATCAGTATTAGTTATAATATGACTGTTGACATTAAGTGTGGTTCTTCAATACTATAAATTTGTTGAATTCTTCATTGTGATCTATTGATAGTTCTTACTGATCTGAGTTTTCTATGTTCGGTGTAACCTTATCTTTTGATCTTTTTGCGAAAGTAGAAAAGATGAGTAGGTACTGTACCTTCGGTCATAATTGTGTCCTTTCAAAATCCTACTTGCTTATCGTGGGGACCATTCAGTTAGGAATGATCTTATTAGAAAATCAAACAAAAACGGCACAACCACCATTTATTCAAGCATCCAGTGTTGACTTATTGTATGAACAGATTTCAACTTATTGGCAACTCAACTGAAAGATTGAGTCAGTGAATCAAATCAATGACTATAACTCTGAGCAATTGTTGATAGGTGCAGATTATCTGATTAGGCTTTCTGTGACAATTGTTCGCATTGATTGGAGGCGTTAGGTGGCATCGATCAGATCCACCGCTACCTTCTATCCTGAGTGATGTTTGATAACATCTCAAGCTACTGAGCTACACTGTCTTTACGACCTCAGCCAAGGTATTGTAGATACCATCCCTACACAGCTTTCTTTCATACTTCAACAATCTGTCATTTACTGGCCATCTCCTGTTACTCGAATCAGTTATAGCGTTGGCAAGTGATGCAAAGTAATGTAATTTCCTTGGGCGACATTCTTGTTACGTGTTAAAGCAGTTGAACTTGTCGTTGTGTAATGATGATTCCAGTTGAATTATCATCACCCGTAAGTCAGCTGACAGACTTGTTCAAAGTGAAGACCGATATCTGGTAAGGTTGCTTACTCTCACTCTTTCTCTTTTTCCTGCTGATCGACTGGATTATGAAGATGTCAACATCTGGAGAAAAGCACGGTATCCAATTGACAACTGGGATGCAGCTGGACGATCTGGACTTCGCAGATGACCTGGTTCTTCTATGGCACACGCAATAATAAATGCAAGAGAAGACGACCAGTGTAGTAGCAGCCTCAGCAGCAGCAGGTCTCAACATACATAAAGGGAAAAGCAAGATTCTCCGATGCAACACAACATGCACCAAACAAATCACTCTTGATGCAGATGCCTTGGAGGACGTTAACACCTTTACATATCTAGGCAGCATCATCGACGAGAAAGGTGGATCGGATGCAGATGTGAGGGCACGGATTGGTAAAGCAAGGGCTGCATTTCTAAAGTTGAAAAATATCTGGAACTCCAAACAACTTTCAACCAAAACCAAAATCAGGATTTTCAATACAAATGTCAAGACAGTACTACTGTATAGAGCTGAAACTCGGAGAACTATGAATACCATCATCCAGAAGATACAAGTATTCATTAACAGTTGTCTAGGCAAAATGCCTCGGATTCGTTGGCCAGACACGATCAGCAACAACATACTGTATGAGAGAAGAAACCATAATCCAGTGGTGGAAATGAGGAAGAAGTGTTGAGAGTGGATTGGACACACACATTGTGGAGAGCTCCGAACTGGGTCACAACAAGACAAGCACTTACTTGGAATCCTCAAGATCGAAAGAAAATTGATAGAACGGAGAACGCTTTATGCCGAAAAATGAAGACAGACATGAGAAGAATGAAAAATAAAATTAGAAAGAACTAGAAAGGAAAGTCAAGGACAGAATTAGTTGTGTGGTGCTGTGGTACGAACTACTTATAAGTAGTATATAACGTGAGTGTCAACGTAAAGTCTGGTAGCATAATATGGGGGGAAGATCAAGAAAGGAGGAAGAGTTAGAACACAATGGAATTTGTATGAAACGCATGAATGGTAGTGACAATGGATTGATGTTTTTTGCAACAGGAACAGTCCAGTTCGATATGATGGACTGATATTTTGCAAATGAACGATTTACGATATGGTTTTCCGATTTTACTGAGTAACTCTGTGATTTTCGTTAAATACAATTCGGTTGCCCCACCTGTGTTCTCATTCACTACAGTTGGAGAAAACTGGTCGGCGGCCTATGCTCCATTGGTGGGGTAACAAGCGTAAGTAAGTGAGTAAGCTCTAACACCTGTAACTAACATGATGTTGGCTTTGAGTTCTTCAATATGTATGTGATCCATAAACAGTTTTATTGCATTTTATTTCTTCATTCTTATTTTGATAGATTCTTTTCTTCAATACAAAAAACATTCTCGGAGGATTTACTAATCATATACGTACTTTACGATTGTTTCCTCGACCGGTAGTTGCATTTCAATATGAAAGTTTTATGAAGTCTCGTCCAAAACCTTGTTTATTTACTAGTATGCTTGCAAAAACTCAGGTATGTTGACATTATTTATAAGCAAGTATAAGTTGAAATCCCAAACTGATCTTAGCGAGATTACGATTATAAACTTGGAAGTACTGGATGGTTATTATGTCCTATTAAAGAACTGACTGCTCAACGAAACAACCATCCATCCAGTATTTCCCCAGGTTTCCAGCGGTGAACTACTAGCTAAGATCAGTTCGTGATTTCAATTGTTGACAAATAATACGATTGTCACAAATTCCGTTCACTGATATACATATTTATTTTTTCATAAATGTATTTAGACGGTAAATGTGTAACTTCTTTTTCATTTGCTGAGTGTATTTAGGATGTAAATGTTTCTAAGGGCGAGATATCCGTTTGCCGACTAAAGGACGAGTGTACTGTGCAGTGGTTCGCTCCGTCTTACTTTATGGCTGTGAAACATGGCCAGTGAGAGTAGAAGATATTCGTAGGTTATGCTGGTTCTCGATCATAGGTGTCTTCGAAGCATTGCTCGTATATCCTGGGACACCCGTGTGAGCAACGCTGTTATTAGGAATCGGGTGCTAGGTAAGAATGGCAGGTCAGTAGACGCAGTAGTGACACTGCATCGGTTGAGGTGGTTGGGACATGTGTTGCGTATGCTCAAACACCGACTGCCTCGTCGAGCTTTGTTTTGCAGTGTAGGAATAGGTTGGAAGAAAATTAGGGGCGGCCAGACCAAAACATGGCAGAAATCCATGAAGTCATTGACGAGTGGACTTAGCCATGTCGGTAATTGTCGACTACCTGGTTGGGGTCAGCGAGATGATAATAATCGATGGTTAGATACCCTGAATGAATGACATGGCTCAAAATCGTTTGCAATGGCGCCGGTGCATTTATTCTTTGTGTTCTCTCAAATCCTAATCTTCTGGATACTTCAACCCCTCTATTTTTGACTTTCTAAACTTTTCCCACTGAATCATACTTCTTGAGTAATATCTTATAATCCTAACCTCTTCGATTACTTCTAATACCCTTACTACCTCTTCTACAATTGGATTTGAATTGACGATTACAGCTGATGTGGTATGGCGACATGAACTGATGTACTTACGTGCGAAGTTCTACGTTGCATCTGACTGACTGACTGCCTCGACGAGCCATGTTGTATGATGTAGAAATAAGTTGAAGAAAAGCTAGTTGTGGCCAAACTAAAATATGGCACAAATCCATTAAATCACTAACAACTGGACGAAGACATGTTCTTAGGTGTAGTTGGACTGTTTAGGGTCCGCAAATCAATAGTAACCTATGCAGTTGAATGACATGGCTCAAAATGGTTTACGATGACCAAGGTGCAGCTATTCTTTGTCTGCTCTCATCATCTTTATCTCTCTCTCTCTCTTTAAATTATTTCATTGGATTATACTTCTTGAACAATTTCTTCAAACCCTATTCTTTTCCACTACCGCTGATACTGCTACAACCTCTACTACTATGGAATTTAAATTGACAATCCAATATCCCTGTGGTGGTGCTTACAGAAGCTTAGACTGATGTATGTTCGTATGGAGTTTGACGTTGGAGCTGACTGACAAGTTATTTCAATAATGTCAACAAATATTATAGCTGTTACTGTAGAGGACTTTCGTAGGTTACTAGTCTTCGATCATCGATGTCTCCGAAACATTGCTTGTGTATCATGGGACGATCGAGAAAGCAATGCTGTCGTTAGGAAACGAATTCTAGGTAAGGATGGCAAATCAATTGATGAAGTATTCAAACTTCATCAGTTGAGGTGGTTGGGACATGTGTTACGTATGCACAACCACCCACTGCCTCGTCGAGCAATGTTTTGCAATGTAGGAGTAGATTGGAAGAAAGCTAGGGGCGGCCAAACCAAAACATGACAGAACTCCATTAAGTCATTAACAAGTGGACTGAGTCATTTTGGTAGATGTCGACTACCTGGTTGGTGTCCGCGAGACGAAAGTCACCAATGGTTAGAGACCTTAAACGACATAGCTCAAAATCGTTTGCAATGACGCCGGTGCATCCACTGTTTGTGTGCTTTTTAATTCTAATCTTCTGAATTCCTCATCACCTTTATCTTTCTGTTTCTAAACTTATTTCATTGAATGATACTTCTCGAATCATTTCTTTGCCCCCTAATCTTCTCCATTACTGTTAATACTTCTACTATCGCTATCACTCTTGGATTTGAACTGATACTAGTTAGAGCAACATTAGGAATCTAATAAGCACTGGATATCCAATGATCAGTGGATTTTAATCCACGTGGGATAGGGGTTAGTTATTTGCCGTAGGCTATGGATGAAGATTGAGATAGTGGATGATTGTAATGGAGTTCTGTTCTCTGAGTTGGATGTTTTGATTGTGGAGCTTTTAATTATCAGCACAAACTTCCGATAGTGAAGTGAAGTATTCGAATTTCTGCACGTATGATTCGTAGTGTGTATTGTTGACCTGGGTCTCTATTGGTTGTCTGTCGTTGTTTTCACTGTCATTTTGATTGCATCCACCTTTGATCTGTTTTTTATTGATCCTATGCTTGTCAATACTGGTGTACCACTATGGACATACATTCGATTGGAACAATGTTGGAATACTGTATAGACGGAGTAGACAGAGAGAACACTAGAGAATTTTTAGAAATTTGGCACTCAAGTCAGTGTCATCTCTCAACAAAAATATCGACATTGACCTAATTTACCAATCAATCAAAAAATTCATAGATAAGCCTAGAATGAAGAAGCACAATATATAAGTCATACACTCATGCGAGTGTCAGGGTGGTTGATACTGCTCTCAACTTGACTTGCTATGTTGTAGTATGCAGTGAAGAATATCGAATTCGAATATATGATGATGCTGAGTGAAGTGTTTTGAAAACATATAACAGAAGATAGACATCTGAACTTCTGATTGTTTTGCAAATGAAGTAGGTGCTACCTAAGATGTGGTGTACAAATTTTTTTCAGCAAACTGTATCTTCCTCAAATATGTCATCTGCATTCATTACGTTAGGGTTAGTGATATTACATCGTTGCCGAGATGGAACCTACTAACTAAAATTCGAACACCTTAACTTGTAAGCCACCCTGCTTATTTATCATAGAACTTAATCGTTTATGCTAAATACCATTAATAAGTCGCGTTAAAAAAAACACATTAACTTACTTACTTACTTACTTACTTACGCCTGTTACCCCCAATGGAGCATAGGCCGCCCACCAGTTTTCTCCAACCAACTCTGTCCTGGGCTTCTCTCTCCAGTTCTGTCCAATGTTTGTTCATTCCTTTCATATCTTTCTCTATTTCTCGGCGTAATGTATTCTTTGGCATTCCTCTTTTCTTTTTGCCTTGAGGGTTCCATGTGAGGGCTTGTCTCGTGACGCAGTTAGGTGCTTTCCTAAATGTGTGTCCTATCCACTTCCACCGCTTCTTCCTGATATTATCCCCCACTGGAATCTGATTCGTTCTCTCTCACAGTACGTTGTTGCTGATGGTGTCTGGCCAACGAATCCGAAGTATTTTGCGTAGACAACTGTTCATAAACACTTGTATCCTCTGGATGATGGCTTTGGTAGTTCTCCATGTTTCCGCTCCATACATTAGAACTGTCTTCACATTTGTATTGAATATCCTGATTTTGGTTTTGGTTGAAAGTTGTTTGGAGTTCCAGATATTTTTCAACTTTAGAAATGCAGCCCTTGCTTTGCCAATCCGTGCCCTCACATCTGCATCCGATCCACCTTGATTGTCGATGATGCTGCCTAGATATGTAAAGGTGTTAACGTCCTCCAAGGCATCTCCATCAAGAGTGATTTGTTTGGTGCATGTTGTGTTGCATCGGAGAATTTTGCTTTTTCATTTATGTATGTTGAGACCTACTGCTGCTGCAGAGGCTGCTGCTACACTGGTCGTCTTCTCTTGCATTTGTTGTTGAGTGTGCGATAGAAGAGCCAGGTCATCTGCGAAGTCCACGCTATCGAATGCTTAACACATTAACTACCAAGTTTTAAAATTCAGATAATAATAGATTCAAATTTACAACTTTTTTTATGATTGTTGTTTTATATTCAATTAGGCTGTAGAATATTTTGCTGAATCATCTATATCTGCATACAATGAAAGTTATCAACGTATTTATTCTGGTGTTTATGCACCAAATTTAATTGGTGACAAATTAGCTTGGTATAAGAATCAATTAAAAGTCATTACATTCAATTGTTGGGATAAATTAATCGATTTTGCTCATGTGATTGTTGAACCAAATCACTCATCCAATCATCAATTATCAACATGTTGTAATACCGATCAGTCAAGATTATTATTATTATATCAAGCTGTTGAATTAATACATTCTACTAAGAACAGACGAGCACATACTACTACTACTGATGATGTTGATGGTGATGATGATGACATGTGTATGGAGGAGATTGATAAAGATAGCGGGAATGATTTTTCAGAGTATGATGATCAAATGATGAATGATTTTAACGGTGAGTTGATTTTGTTTCTTTTAGTTAATTGTTAATTGTTCATTGACAGTTTACAATAAAAGGGGTACGTTGCATGTAGCGAATGTGTTCATGGGAGTGGTGATCATCTACCCACCCGCCTAGAGTGAAATTATGTTGTTGTGAATACCAAGTAAAGCATGGGTGAATACTCGTGATGATTTTTATGCTATGTACACAGAGTGTACTTGCTCCTGATGCGACGCCTACACGCGAATAATATCCTCAGCCTCTCTGTTACGCCTGCATGTGAACACGTTAATTTTGACATGCTTGAACTATTACGAGTTTACGTCGTTGGAAAACAAGAGCGTGGATCGAGGATCGGGCGACATGACATGCTACTCAAATCCGATTATCCCAACCCCCACATTGAGTGAAAATAAGAAGACATGATATGAAGTAGAACGTGTATTCTACAAGCATCCAGAAAGTACGAGGTCGGAATCCAGAAGAGAAACGGGATCCCGGACTAGGGATCATGGACCGGGTCCTGGTCCTGGTCGTGGGCATAAAACGTTACATATAATGCGTATTTTGGTCGAATAGGAAACAGCATGGAAGTCTGTGACATTCATAGTGACATTGATAGTCAGGACAGCCAATAAGAAACAACATTGGAGCACGTGACATTGATATCTACCAGGAAGACCATAAAATTGACCAGTAGGAATCAACCAACAGGAATTGACCAATGTTGGATGAATATCCTAACACTCTCTCTGGCTGGAGCACCGCATTTAAAAATGAATAGTAAGGTTCTGTAATGTAAGGCCTGATCCATAGCCAAACTCATCAAAATGCATCATACTTCTAGCAGATATAGTTTTTATACAAGACTACATCACACCATAGAATGAGAAAATACATTTATGCTTAAGTGATTCAAAACTGGCTATCAATTTTCGAGTCAATTAATGAATTGATCATTGTTAGACCACCATTAGAAACCTGCAAACACTGGACGACCGTTTCATCCTAGTGTGGGAAGGCATTATCAATGCGCGTTTATGACTCTCGCTCGTGGGAGTCGAACCCTAGACCGTCGATCTCGTGTGCAAACGCTTAACCTCTGGGTAGGTGACTGATTACTGCTTCGACAGAAAACTGACTATTCTCTGCTACTTCTAATATGGAATTATAAAACCGAACGTTTGTTATCTCACTTGTCTTCCTACTGTCAGTTTTTACCATTCATCACGTTTTGTATAGTTACGTAATTCATTTCACTGCGATCATTAACGATTAAAGCATAAACCCCAATGATAATCTGTCTTGTTCTATTGTAGTGAAGTACAACACAGGTGAGGGCAACCGAATTATATTTAACGAAAATTACAGAGTTACTCAGTAAAATCGGAAAACTATATCGTAAATCGTTAATTTGCAAAATATCAGTCCATCATCATATCGAACTGGACTGTTCCTGTTGCAAAACATCATCAATCCATTGTCACTACTATTCATGCGTTTCATACACAAATTCCATTGTGTTCTTCTAACTCTTCCTCCTTTCTTGTTGATCTTCCCCCATCTTCTGCTGCCAGACATTACGTTGACACTCACTGTCATATACTACTTATAAGTAGGCTCACACCATACTATTATCCTACTTGTCATTATTTTCTAATCACTGATAACAGCCAAAAAACAAAAAATCATATTCGACGTATCAATCACAAAATCATATGACTGATTTATTGAACATCTTTTTTATTGTTTCTGTTATTATTGTCGACACACAAAAAGAAACAACTAATCATGCACAGTTCAATGTTGTTTTAAATGAAAGCAAATTTCGAAGCGCGAAATTTATATATATATATATATATATATATATATATATATATATATATATACCTGATTCTCAAAGTTTGCATTCGATGTTTCTACAATGAATTATTATCGATCAGTAGTATATAACGTATAATTAAGCATACATATATATGGTATTTTTTTTCTCAAAGCTCGAAGTATTCATTAAATTTCTAAAGTAGAAAATCTATTTTGAGGAGGCTGTAAAGCAACTCACCCCTGTTAACTCTTTGTAATAACACTGACTAATATGAAAGAATGTGGTTGATTAAATCCAAAACACATGACATTCGTTTGACTGTGACATTGAATCGTAATAAGTAGGAGGGTTGTAGAGATAGTTGAGTTTTATTGAAATTATGAATTGATCAATGTTAGATCACCATTTTATAGCTAGATATACTAAACGGCTGTTTCTTTCTAGTACGGTACTCATCAAATGTGTGCATCCACGACCGCTTAACAGGAATCAAAACGTAGAAATTAGATTTCGCACACGAACGCTTGATATCTTAACCGTTTAATGTGAAACATGGTCGTTAAGAGTAGGAGATGTTCGTAGGTTACTAGTATTCGATCATAGATGTTTAAGAAGCATGGCTCATATACCGTGAAACAAATGAGTAAGCAATGCTGTCCTTAGGAAACGGGTGCTAGGTAAGGATAGCAGATCAATAGATGAAGTATTGAAACTTCATCAGTTGAGGTGGTTGGGACATGTGTTACGAATGCCTAACCACGGACTGCCTCGGCGAGCTTTGTTTTGTGGTGTAGGAGTAGGTTGGAAGAAAGATAGTGGCGGCCAGACCAAAAAATGACAGAAACCCATGAAGTCGCTGAGAAGTGGATTGAGTCGTGTTGATAGATGTCGGCTACCTGGTTGAGGTCCGCGAGACGAAAGTCACCAGTGGTTAGAACCTTGAATGACATGGTTCAAAATCGTTTGCAATGGCGCAAGTACATCCATTCGTTGTGCTCTCTCAAATCCTAATCTTCTGAATTCATCATCATCAATGAATTACACTTCTTCAATAAAATCTTCAAACCCTAGTCTTCTTCATCACCATTAATACCTCTACTATCTTTATCTCTCTGGGATTTGATTTGTTATTTGCGTCTCTGTGCTAATGTGGTATGGCAATTTGAACTTATGTACATACGTACGAAGTTCTACGTTGCAACTGACTGACTAACCGTTTAATGTCATCTTAGTGATTTAGAGGTCACGCTTACGGGCGAAGTTTCTTTATGCAACTCCTGCTTACGGAGTCATGGATGCATACTGCTGATGATTCTCATATTGTGTGACAAAATGTTTTAGAAATGATATTGACTGTCTTTTTGCAATTGAAGTCTGTAGTGTATACCATTGGTTAAACCTCCGCAGCGTATTCTAGTTTTCGGAAAAACTGTCTCACGAATTGTCGAGTCGCAATCCAGTCATATTTTGATGCGGTTAATTATTCACCTATACGACCTTGGTTACTTTCTGTTGAGTTTACGTGTTTGCTTCGCTTATCTCTGTCTGGAGTGTTTCATCAAACTGAATTGGTGTACTCGCTTTGTGCGCTTTACTTCTCTTTGCTTCCTCGCTCTTTATTCTTAGGTGCATACAATGAATTCATCCATCTTACTTCGTATCTGTGTTAGGATATTCATCCAATATCCTAAGAGAATTATTGGTCAATTCCTATTGGTTAATTCCTACTGGTCAATTTTATGGTCTTCCTAGTAGATATCAATATCACGTGCTCCAATGTTGTTTCTTATTGGTTGTCCTAACTATCAGTGTCACTTCAAATGTTACTTCCTATTGGTCATCCTAGCTGTCAATGTCACAGACTTCGATGCTGTTTCCTATTCGACCAAAATGTATAAATACGCATTAACTGTAACGTTTTATGACCACGACCAGGACCCGATCCCGGATCCCTAGTCTGGGATCTCGATCCTCTTCTGGATTCGGACCTCGGACTTTCTGGATGCTTGTAGAATACAGGTCCTACTTCATATCACTTCTTATTTTAACTAGATATGGGGGTTGGGATAATCGGATTTGAGTAGCATGTCATGTCACCGGATCCTCGATCCTCGCTCTCGTTTTCCGACTAGGTAAACTCGTAATAATTCAAGAATATCAAGTTGACGTGTTTACGTGCAGGCGTAACAATCTCTCTTCTTATCACCGTCGTCATACAAACAGGGTTCGCCTATGAAATTAGATGAACGATTTATTTCCTAAGTATTCACTCGCGATCGAAGTCATGCCAAACCAGTAATAGCTTTTTAAAGTAACTTAACTGCGAGTATTGTTTTTCTATTGTAGTTGTAATTTTCACAAAATATCATATCCTCATTTTTTTGTGCTTTTTCCTTTTCACTCAGTCATGTTTAAAACGTATTCCGATGATTCTGATTCCATTTATTCACCTGACACCGTTATATCTGATTGTCAATTGTCAAATCAAATGAAAGATTGTATTTTAGCTCAAGCAAATCAACCATTACCCGATTGTTTCATTGAATTTTATACTCCACCGAAAAAATTTGTTCATACTAATGAATCGAATGTATGTCGTAGTGTATCATCGGAAATTGCGGTAAGTTGTGTGATATTGATCTATAGCAAGGATGATGACCTTGAGCAACCCCAAATTAACCAATAAGAAAATGCGGACATGTTATAAAGCAATCCACAAGATGATATCAGTGGAATAATTAATAGTTGTGATCTGACATTTCGAATTAGTCCTTCTAACAGAAAAGTTGGGCTAGTGTGTTTTGTTTTCAATTAGAGTGATCATCCCAGAGAGTTTACACTGTCGATTGAGGCCAACTCCGATGGTTTAAGTGATAAAAGTTAGGCTGGTGCTAGGAGTTTGGTTTTTAAAAATAGAGTTCGGATTTTCATTATGAATTGATAGCGGCTGTTATGTAATTCTCTGTCATTCTACTGTTGAGATATAGATTGGTTGTCTGAAACGGAGGTTATCATTATCTGACTTCATTAAACACACAAGACAACGCACTACTCCGTTGTTCAATCAATTTAAGCTTATATAGTGTTTGAATTTATGTTTGGGCAAATCTGTGCTTATAACATTTCTATGTGATATCAGTGATAGTTAATAGTATTCAACTATTCATGTTGTTCACCTGGTGGATGTATTTCAATGCTGCCGTAACGTACGAACTCCAGAATGAGTGTATGGAGTGTTTGGAGAAGACAGTTCAATGTACGAAAATATGTTCACCTTCCTCTTCACAAGTCCAATCTAATCGTCTTCTCTCACATCTTTTCTATGTGCATTTCAAACTTCAGTCACTCCTGTTGACACCAACTTCAAGACAAAACTCTGATGCAAACTACTTAAATGCCACTTTATGAGTAGCATCCGTTTTGTGAAAGATGAAATACACTGGTTAATTGTCAAATACAAAGGAGGTATATATTTCGCAACTGTTCACCAACTAAGCTTTTGACCATAATCCATAGGTATATCAAGTAAAGTTACATGGTTCACGCCATCGATCTCACTCCACTAAACAAAACAGTCAGTCAGTCAGTCAGATGCAACGTAGAACTTCGTACGTAAGTACATCAGTTCATGTTGCCAAACCACATCAGCACAGAGATATAATTGTCAGTTCAAATCCAATTGTAGTAGAGGTAGTAAAGGAATTAGAAGTAATCGGAGAGGTTAGGATTAGAAGATTTTATTCAAGAAGTATGATTCAGTGAGAAAAGTTTAGAGAGTCGAAACTAGAGGTGTTGAAGAATCCAGAAGACTAGGATTTGAGAGAACGCAGAGAATAAATGCACCGGCGCCATTGCGATCGATTTTGAGCCATGTCATCCAAGGTCTCTAACCATCGATTATTATCATCTCGCGGACCCCAACGAGGTAGTCGACAATTACCGACATGGCTCAGTCCACTCGTCAATGACTTCATGGATTTCCTCCATGTTTTGGTTTGGCCGCCCCTAACTTTCTTCCAACCTATTCCTACACCACAAAACACAGCCCGTCGAGGCAGTCGGTAGTTTGGCATACGCAACACATGTCTCAACCACCTCAACTGATGGTGTTTCATTACTTCATCTATTGATTTGCCACCCTTACCTTTTATTCCTTTCCTAACGACAGTATTGCTTATATAGTTGTCCCAGGATACAAGAGCAATGCTTCAAAGACACCTATGATCGAAGAATCGTAAACTACGAATGTACTCTACTCTTAACGGCCATGTTTCGCATTCGTATAGTAGGATGGAGCGAACTACTGCACAGTACACTCGTCTTTTAGTGAGCAAAGGGATATGTTGCCTGCGCCATAAGTAACGCAAGTTGGCAAAAGCCAATCGAGTTTTCTCTATCCGAGCTGAGATTTTGTCAGTCATCAGGCCATCAGCACTGATGAGACTCCCCAAGATACGTGAAGCGGTCTACACGTTCGACTACTCCACTTCCTATCACTAGTTCAGGTGTCGATGAAACCCAATCTTGAAGCAGCTGAACAAAACAAGCTCTTACTTCAAGTTTCGTAAGTAATTCAGTCTGATAGACACATGATATAGTTGCGAGTCAATGAATAATAATCAATGTCGAGGAACTAGTAATGTTTTCCGTTGATCAGTTGAGTGTATCCAGATTACATTTTGTTTATTCGAATTGAAATGAATGATCTTAAATATCGTGAAAAAAAATATTTTCTTCATTTTATTTTAGGATAGTAAATTGTCAAATATTGAAAGGTAAGTTCACACTGTGTAATCATTCTATACAACTTAAAATCTATTATCCATGTGATTGATGTCTTATGTGAATAAGTATTATTCACTGATACCATTTTTTGATGTTCACACACGAATGATGATGTTTTGCATGATTTACGAACGATCCGTTCTTAAAGGGTAGATGGAGTAAAAGCGTGGCTCTATGCAGTTGTTATATCTTGTGAAGTATACAGATAGATCACTGACCACGATTGATTGGCTTTCCATTTCAGTTGTCGTTGTGTGTTATTCATTCTGTTGATATTTGCCTTTTGATCACTTACTTTTCTTTTTACCTTGAAGATTCCAGTGTTTAAGGCTTACTTCTTGTTACAGTTTGATGATTTTCTCATTGTGTATCCTATCCACCTAATTCTTCTTCATCTGGAATCTGATCTTTTGTCTGCTACATTAGATTATTTGATAATAATGCCCGACCAATCGATCTCTAGTCTCTTGCGTAGCCGTACCAACCTGCGTCACTTATGGCGTAGGCGTGATATTCGTTCGCTAACCAAAGGGCGGGTGTACTGCGCAGCAGTTCGTTCCGTTCTCTTATATGGCTGTGAAACATGGCCGTTAAGAGTAGAAGATGTTCGTAGGTTACTAGTATTCGATCATAGATGTTTAAGAAACCTTGCTAGTCTATCGTGGGACAACCGAGTAAGCAATGCTGTCGTTAGGAAACGAGTACTAGTTAAGGATGGCAAATAAATAGATGAAGTAATGAAACACCATCAGTTGAGGTGGTTGAGACATGTGTTGCGAATGCCAAACTACCGACTGCCTCGACGGGCTGTGTTTTGTGGTGTAGGAATAGGTTGGAAGAAAGATAGTGGCAGCCAGACCAAAACATGACAGAAACCCATGAAGTCACTGACAAGTTGACCGAGTCATGTTGGTAGATGTAGGCTACTTGGTTGGGGGTCAGCGAAACGCAAGTCACCAACGGTTATAAACGTTGAACGACATGGCTTAGAATCGTTAGCAATGGCGCAAGTGCATCCATTCGCTGTGCTCTCTCAAATCCTAATCTTCTGGATTCATTAGCACCTCTACATTTGTCTTGCTAACATTATCTCACTGAATTATACTTCTTGAATAATATCTTCAAACCCTAGTCTTCTTCATTACCATTAATACCTCTACTATCTCTATCACTATTGAATTTGATTTGACATTTGCCTCTCTGTGCCAATGTGGTATGGGAACCTGAACTTATGTACATACGTACGAAGTTCTACGTTGCAACTGATTGACTGACTGACTGACTGCGTAGCCGTTAGGGCTACATCATTATGGTTTACTAAAGCTACTAAACCTGTTATCAGAAAGAAATGCCTAATGCCTCTTTCTTCAGACTGGTCATATCTTTGTTTTCTTTGATAGTTCAACTAAAATAGTTTCTTTGGATGGAATTAAATTGACCTTCGTTGTTCACTGTGATCTCTACAAATTATAATAGTTTCTAGTTCTTTCTTTGTTATAAAACGGTCGAACATTACCTGACAAGGTTGATTTTCCCTACTAGATGGATATGAAATATGGCTAGTAAGTGTATGAGGATATTCGTTTGGTTTTCGTAGTTTTCAATCATAAGTATCTCCAAAACATTGCTCGTCTATCTTGACTTGAGTAAACAATTCTGTTGTATAGAAACGGGTACAAGTTTAGGACGGCAGATCGTAGATGTTGTAATAGTGAATCTTGATTAGTTGAGCTGGTTCGGAAATGTATTACGTATGTAGTGAACTGAGAACACAGGTGGGGCAACCGAATTGTATTTAACGAAAATTACAAAGTTACTCAGTAAAATCGGAAAACCATTTCGTAAACGGTTAATTTGCAAAATATCAGTCCATCATCATATCGAACTGGAATGTTCCTGTTGCAAAACATCAACAATCCATTGTCACTACTATTCATGCGTTTCATACAAATTCCATTGTGTTCTAACTCTTCCTCCTTTCTTGATCTTCCCCCATCTTCTGCTGCCAGATATTACGTTGACACCCACGTCATATACTACTTATAAGTAGCTTACACCACACGTATACCTTACCACTAACTGTCTCAACGAGCGATGTTTTGTGATGTGGGAGTAGGTTGGAAGAAAACTAGCTGGCGGCCAAAAGTAAAAAAAGATGGTATAAATCGATTTTGTCACTGACAGCTGGACTGAGCCATGTTGGTAGGTATAGACTACCTGGTTGCGATCAGCGAAACAATAATGTCCGACCGTTAGACAAGCTGAATGATATGGCTCAAAATGGTTTGCAATGTTGTCTGTCTGTATACCATCCCTACTAGTTATTCTGTGACATCTTATGGTAAGGTAAACCATAAGGTTATGGAGAAGCCGTGGATTACAGTAGCATCTACTGAACTGATGGATGCTCGAAAGCTCATCCCGCCTGGCTCTGAGTACGATGAGCAGCAGAGTCAGCTCAGGCGCAGAATGATAAAAAGCCTACGCAATGATCCCCGACCGAAGCTGCTACCTTGACGTGGTGGTCGGGATTGCCTATCGTGACGAACCAACTGAGCTATATTGGTTGGAACTTATGTCCCTGAAGGTTCTGCCAGGTCGATTGGAGAACGATGAGACTAAAAGCAGCTACTCAAGATTTGAGGGCAAAGTCGTACTGCTGACTACTGCAGAGGGGTGTGACAGCAGTAAGGTGTTTCCCTCGGATAAGCAGCATTTGCAGCGCTGCTACCTTCTCACAAGGAAGGAAGGGTTAGAAAAGGTCGACCCTAAAAATGTCACACCTCACCGTACCTCACGGATTTCCGTCTCCTTGGGTAAGGGTGCCCACTAAGGGCCTTTAAGAACGGAGCTAATCCTTTAAATACCTTTCATAAAAAAGCCGTGCGTGACCGGCCTCAAGCAGTTGTCCCTTGGGCTCTGCGGTCACGCACCAACACTAATCCATCTTCCTTTTCAGGTCCCTCAAGAAACAACCTTCCACGTTGTGGGCAGTCGGGAAGTGACAACCGCCCCCTGATACCCGTACCAGCACACGAGACCGAATTGATCAAAACCAAACCCTTCCTACACCCCCTAATACCTCTTTTATCTCCACGACTAACTCTTCTCACATACCTTTATCTCACTGCACAGCTAATGCAAACGATGCGAGTTCACGTAACGTCATTCCTGGTCTCTTGAAACCCTGCTCTATACTACATGTTGGAGCGTTTAATATACGAACATTGTGTCAAATAGGGCAACAGGCTTCATTACCCTAAGCAACAATCCAAGCATATTCGGGATGCGGTTTTCCCCCTCGAAATGCAAAATGTTGCTTCAAGACTGGATTGCATCAGCACCTGAACTAGTGATAGGGAGTGAGCGTGTTTACCGCTTCACTTATCTGGGAAGTCCGATCAATGCTGATGGCCTGATGACTGACGAAATCTCAGCTCGGATACAGAAGGCTCGATTGACTTTTGCCAACCTGCGTCACTTATGGCGTAGGCGAGATATGCGTTCGCTAACCAAAGGTCGAGTGTACTGTGCAGTAGTTCGCGCCATTCTACTATATGGATGCGAAACATGGCCGTTAAGAGTAGAGGACATTCGTAGGTTACTGGTTTTCGATCATAGATGTTTAAGAAGCATTGCTATGTTTTCCAGTGTATGAGTAGGTTGGAAGAAAGCTAGGCACGGCCAAACCAAACAGTCAGCTTAAATTAAAATATATACTGTATTCATATATTATATCCTGAAAAAAAGTTAAAAATACCGCTTGTTTTTGTCAATCTTATTCAATATTTCAATGGAAAAATGTTCATGTTATTTATTTAAACAAACAAAAAATAGTTAATTGCGCTCTAATTCAAATCTGCTTTTTAGTGTAATTTTTTATTTCTGGCGGGCTTTTTCATTCCAGTTTTCACTAGAAAAAAAATGCTTGTTGAAACATGATTTGGTTGGTTTATTTTTGTTGTCATTTTTAAGTAAAACAAAAAAGAATCTGAATTGAATTTCTTTCTGGCAGTCAAATACAGTTTTTGGTCATTTTATGTATGTGTTTGTGTGTCTGAGTGTGAGTGTGTACATGTATGCGACATGTTTTCTGAATGAAAAAGAATTATCATTTGATAAGCTTCTGTATAACCATGTTATGTTTATTAAAACTGTGTTTTTTTAAATTAAGCAATAATGAAATTGTGTACTTACTGATCAATGGAAACACCGGATGGCCGTGTTCTTGTAGTAGTTAGTATGTTGTTCATCCACAGAGGGCATCCACAATCCCGCAAACAAGAGTCTAACCTATTTATTATATGTAGTTTCGTACACGAAAAACGCTTTACCTCAAGACCACTCACTATCCTGGCATCCAATGGTGTTGATATGTCGGACTTAAACTGATCCATGATTTGGCATAGCCTTCATCTTTTGTCTGCGATGGATAACTGTCTACCGACGTGACACAAATTCAATTGTACCATCCCGTTGGATGCTAACTCAGTGATGTAGAGGTTGAGCGTTTGCATTGAGAGAGACATTGCTCAAGGGCCCCGTCCTAGGATGAAACGACCATCCAGTACTTCCAGGTTTTTAATGACGTGTTAACATTAATTAATCAGTCCATGGTTTTAATAAAACTCAACAAATAGTAATTTTTAAGTTAAGAGCATTGAAAAAATTGTAAACTTTAGACTGTTCTCTTGGGGTCAGCGAGATGATAGTAATCGATGGTTAGAGACCTTGAATGACATGGCTCAAAATCGTTCGCAATAGCGCCAGTGCATTTATACTTTGTGTTCTCTCAAATCCTAATCTTCTGGATTCTTCAATAATTCTAGTTTTGACTTTCTAAACTTATCTCATTAAATCATACTTCTTGAATAATATCTTCTCATCCTAACCTCTTCGATTACTTCTAATACCTTTACTACCTCTTCTACTATTGGATTTGAATTGACAATCACATCTCTGTGCTGATGTGGTATGGCAAAATGAACTGATGTACTTATGTACAAAGTTCTAGGTTGCATCTGACTGACTGACTTGTATATTGTGCTTCTTCATTCTAGGCTTATCTATGAATTTTCTGATTGATTGGTAAATTAGGTCAATGTCGATGTTTTTGCTGAAAGATGACTGACATGAGTGCCATGTTTCTAAAAATTCTCTGGTGTTCTCTGTACTCCCTGTATCCAGTATTTCAACGTTGTTCCAGTCGAACGTATTTCCATAGCTGTAAGCTAGTACTGACAAACATAGGATCAAGAAACAGATCAAAGGCGGATGCAATCAAAATGAGAGTGAAAACAACGACAGACAACCAATAGAGATCCAGGTCAACAATACACGCTACGAGTCATATATGCAGAAATTCGAATACTCCACTTCACTATCGGCAGTTTGTGCTGATAATTAAAAGCTCAACAATCAAAACATCCAACTCAGAGAACAGAACTACATCACAATCATCCACTAGTACATACGTACGAAGTTCCACGATGCATCTGACTAACTGACTGTTCTCTTTCACCTTGATCTAATTCTTTTTTTCAAGAAAAAAAAATAGTTTTTATGGTTAATTATATCAAATAGATCTTTCTAGTTTCGATTGCCTACCCAACAGCTTTCTAATTCACATCAATTAGTTGAGATTAGTGAACTCGAATGTTGTTATATAAGTAAAAACCAAGCAATAGACAATGGAGCTACCGTTTTCATGATGTATATGCGGTCTAGACGGATTGAATACACTTTGTCGTATATGTTTTGAAAGTCAGGTGCTGTAGTCAGGGAATTTTGAATTGCGTTTGATCTGTTGAGTGAGCTGTGTTACGGTGATACTTAGGAAATAATATTGACGAATTAACATACACTACAGCCTACTATTCCATGTAATCCTTACCACGGGGCTCTCTTATCGACTTAGAATATGCCGATGACATTGTCCTATTTAGTAGAGACGCTGACAGAATGCAGAGTCTTCTGACTACCCCAAGCAACAATGCAAGCATGTTCGGGATGCGGTTCTCACCTTCGAAATGCTAAATGTTGTTTGAAGATTGTGTTGCATCGCCATCGGAACTAGTGATAGGGAGTGAAGTAGTCGAACGTGTAGACCGCTTCATGTATGTGGGGAGTCTCATCAGTTCTGATGACCTGGTGACTGACGAAATCTCAGCACGGATACAGAAGGCTCGATTGGCTTTTGCCAACCTGCGTCACCTATGGCGCAGGCGAGATATCCGTTTGCTGACCAAAAGTTGAGTGTACTGTGCAGTAGTTCGCTCCGTTCTACTATATGGATGCGAAAACATGGCCGTTAAGAGTAGATGTTCGTAGGTTACTGGTTTTCGATCATCGGTGTCTCCGAAACATCGCTCCTGTATCGTGGGACAACCGAGTAAGCAATGCTGTCGTTAGGAAACGAAGTACTAGTTAAGGATGGCAGATCAATAGATGAAAGAAGTGAAGCTTCATCAGTTGACGTAGTTTGGACATGTTTTACGTGTGCGTAACCACCGACTGCCTCGACGAGCTATGTTTGCTGTGTAGGAGTAGATTGGAAGGAAGCTTGGGGCGGTCAGACCAGCACATGGCAGATATGCATGAAGTCACTGACAAGTGGACCTATTCATGTTGGTAGATGTAGTCTACTGGCTGGTGTCCGCGAGACGAAAGTCACCGATAGTTAGAGACGTTAAACAACATGGCTCAGGTGCATCCACTCTTTGTGTTCTCTCAATTTCTAACCTTCTGAATACCTCATAATCTCTATCTTTCTCTTTCTAAAGTTATCTCACTGAATTATACTTCTCGAATCATATCGTCGCTCCCTAATCTTCTCCATTACTGCTAATAATTCTATTATATCTACCATTATGGGATTTGAACTGACAGTTACGTCTGTGTGCTGACGTGGTATGGCAACCTAAACCGATGTACTTATGTACGAAGTTTCGTGTTGTATCTGTCTGTCTATCTGTTTACTAATTTCCAATATGCTTTTTCTTGTCATTATTATTATTATTATTATTATTATTATTATTATTATTACTGTTCTTTTATCAATAGTCAACTGTCAGACGCCAATGGAAAAATCAAGAAGAATATAAATGAGCAGTTGATGAATGCGGTAAGATATCACACTTTGTAAAGTAAACAGATAATTTTTGTTCTGCGTAGCCGTGTAGTATAATGTATTTACGGTCTAGTTGATTTTCGATGTGTTTATGATTAGGAGTGGGTTGTATGAAAAATACGTAAATTACTAGACTTGATTGATTGAGCAAGCAAATGTAAGCAGTTTGATCATTAATAACACTACTTGGTCACCTGAACCTAAGTGCCAAGGGCGGGATTCGAACTTGCAACGTAGTAGTTGAAATTTGAATATTTTGACAACAAGTCATCATTCGAGCGTCACATTGCATTGTTCGTTGATGTTAAATAGTTTTTAATTTGTATACAGATGTCTGAAGTGCAGTGTTAGCCTATCGTCACACAGAAGCAATTGTCTATTCAAATCCCATTGGGATACAGGTAGTAGGATGTATGAGCAGTATTCAGAAAGATTAGGGTTTGAAGATTTTATTCAATGACTATGATCTAGTGAAATAAATATGAAAAGCGGATGATGAAAGTGATGAGTAATTCAGATTACAATTCTGGAGAAGAATGAGAGTTTATGTACTTGCGCTATCGCAAACGATTTTTAGCCATGTCATTCACGGTCTCTAACCATCGGGTTTTTTCGTCTCGCGGACCGCAAACAGGTAGTTAACACTTACGTACATGACTCAGTCCTGTTGTCAATGAATTCATGTTTTGGTTTGCCTTCCCTAATCTTTCGTCCGACCTACTCGTACACCAAAAAAAACATCGCTTATCGAGGCAGTTGAGCATACATGCCACATGTCCCAACTATCTGAACTGATAAAGATTCATTAGTTCCTCTCTTGGTTTGTCATCCTTATATAGTACCCTTTTCATAACAACTTCATCACCACTGATGAGACCCCTAAGATAAGTGAAGCTGTCAACCCGCCCAACCACATCACTCCCTGTTGCTCGTTCAAGTGAGACGCGAGCCAATCAATCAAGACAAATGAAATGTGGCTGACCAACCTAAACCATTCAGTGGTTGGTTGGTTTCGGCTACATTCTATCTACTTAGCTGTACAACGTTAGTATCATTGAGTTGTTTACTAAGTTGTGCTAATTTTATACATTTTGAAAAGAATCGTATCATTCCACATAAACTCAGTCAGTCAGCCAGATGTAACGTAGAACTTCGTATGTAAGTACATCAGTTCATGTCGCCATACCACATCAGCACAGAGATGTAATTGTCATTTCAAACCCAATAGTAGCAGAGTTAGTAAAGGTATTAGAAGCAATCGGAGAGGTTAGGATGAGAAGATATTATTCAAGAAGTATGATTTAATGAGAAAAGTTTAGAAAGTCAAAAATAGAGGTGTTGAAGAATCCAGAAGATTAGGATTTGAGAGAACACAAAGAGTGGATGCACCTGCGCTATTGCAAACGGTTTTGAGCCATGTCATTCAGGGTATCTAACCATCGATTATTATCATCTCGCCGACCAAAACCAGGTAGTCGACAGCTACCACATAAACTAATATTATTTAATACTTTTCTTGTGTAATCTTTGTCTCAATTTCCAACTATTTGTACATCTACTGAAGTGGTTTACTCCGTTTTCTGTTTAATTTCTTATTTAAAAATAGAACAGCAACACAGGATTGCAATCATTTACAGTGTCAACTAATTCAACTAGTGGTACTTTAACTAGATCATCGTCTGTTTCATCGAAACATTCCATAAATGATACTTTACATTTGGTATCTCGTTTATCGTCTTCCATATTTACGAATAACAGTAATAATAATATTAATAATAGTAATAATAATAATAATAATGTTTCAAAAAGGAATTCTGATGATGATAATTTAGGTTGGGATTCATCTGTCACTTTATTATTTGGTGATTTATTAAAATCAAGTGAGTGAGTGACTTATCTTTTATTTTTTTACTCTGTGTGTGTGTATAGGAAAGAATGTTGTCTTGATGTGTTACGCTAGTTGTGTACTGTTACGGGTATGAGGGTGGATGTGACTTGCCGACCGCCCATACCGTTGTAGAAGCTGAAAAGGAAGGTAGATTAGTGTGTTGGTCTTAATGACCTGGGAGCGTGACCACAGTGTCAAAGGGACAACTGCTTGAGGCCGGTCATGCACGGCCTTTTTATGAACTTTTGAAGTGTCGGCTCCGCCTTACCGCGGGAGATGGAAATCTATGAGGTAAAGTGGGGTATGACATTTCTAGGGTCGATCTATTCTGAATCCCTTCCTTCCTTGTGAGAAGGCAGCATCGCTGTGAATGCTGCTTGTCTTAGAGAAACACCTTATTGCTGTCACACCTCTCTACAGTCAGCATTACAACTTGGCCCTCAGATCTTGAGTAGCTTCTTTCAGTCTCATCGTTCTGCATTTGACATGCCTGGCAAGGTAGAACGTACGGGAATATATGTTCTAGCCAATATAGCTCGGTTGGGTTATCACGACAGTCGAGCCTTGCCACTACTTCAAGGTAGCAGCTTCGGTCGGGCTTAGGCTAGCTAGTTCTGTGTGTCTACACCTGTTCGATCTAGGGTACAGAGAACAAAACTATTCTATCACTGAATGGTTAGTAAATGAGAAAGAGATTACCACTGGAGTACCATTTTTAATTCGAATAGCAGATACAAATACATGAATAAATGTATACGCTTTGTAGGAACACATTGCAAATTATCCAGGTTATTGAAACATGGCAGAAATCCATGAAGTCATTGACGAGTGGACTTAGCCATGTCGGTAATTGTCAACCTCCTGGTTGGGGTCCGCGAGATGATAATAATCGATGGTTAGAGACCTTGAATAACATGGCTCAAAACCATTCGCAGTGGCGCCGGTGCATTTATTCTTTGTGTTCTCTCAAATCCTAATCTTCTGGATTCTTCAATAACTCTAGTTTTGACTTTCTAAACTTTTCTCATTAAATTATACTTCTTGAATAATATCTTCTCATCCTAACCTCTCCGATTACTTCTAATACCTTTACTACCTCTACTACTATTGGATTTGAATTGACGATTACATCTCTGTGCTGATGTGGTATGGCAACATGAACTGATGTACTTACGTACGAAGTTCTACGTTGCATCTGACTGACTAATATCAACGACCTTCGATCTGATTCCAATTTGTTTGACTGAATAATTATACTATGAAAAATAATTTGATGCCGTATATATTACACAGACTAAACTGATTTATGCGATAGAGATAATGCAACACCGAATCTGGATAGATTTAGATGACTTGATTCGATTCAATGGTTTATGCAGACCAACATGAGAATGATATTGCTGAAAAGTGAAACAAAGAATCCTGTGAAGTGCGGGAATTGTCGATAGGCACTGTTGATGAGTCTCGTAACAGGATGAAACGGCCGTCCAGTGCTGCGAAGTTTCCAATGGTGTTCTAACAATGATTGATTAATAATGATTTCAATGTCTCATCTCTCCATGACTCTGATTGAATTTAGTTAACAACGCATGATTAACGATTTATAATCGGACAAAGGTAGGCTAAACAACATTTAATCAATAAACTAAGCGATACACCACCCACATTTGTGTTCAATGTAAATCAGGATAACTCGAAAAAAAACATTGATCAATTAATTAGTTTGTCTAAAAGCTAGAATCAGTTATACAAACTCGACATAGCATAGCATGTATAAAAAAAGATGTACTCTGATAACGAGTACAAGTAATCAGTAGTATATATTTATTTTGTGTGTGTGTGTTTGTCTCGTGTGTGTCATTCATATAGATTTGCTTGATATTTAACATTTCTCCCAATCTTTCTTTGTAGATCGTCTTCGAAGTCTGACTTTCAAAGATGTTCCATTATCTGCTATGCAAATTCATAAAAAACGGTTAGTACACGTGTTGATTCAATGAAATGTTGAAATTTCTTTTCATGGAATGCAGTTTCAAGGGGGTTCTGTTGTGTCTTTTTTATCATGGAACTTTTTTTGAATAATCAGTTGCCTATATGACAGTGTAGTTGGGACTTGATACAATTTCATTGAGATTATCGGCTAAGGTTGATAGGTTTTGATTCTCGGTCTCCGTGTCGTGAATACACTTCTCTGAAGCACCCATTTAGTTCTTTCAGTGTTCGTCGTATAACTTAATTTGACTTGTCAGTCTGCAACAGTATAGAAGTTGGTCCACATGTATATCAGTTCAACTTGCCATACCACATTAGTACAGAGATGGATAGAATTGTTAATTTAAATGTCATAGTTTTGAAGAATGTAGCAGTATAAATGGTATTTGAAAATATTAGGGTTTAAAGATTATGATTCGAGAATTATATCTCATTGAAGTAGAGTTGACAAGCGCTCAAACTGTCATGACGATTTGAGAAGATTAGATTTCGAGATAAGACAAAGAATAGGTGCATCTGCACCCATTGTAAACGATTTTCAATTTTTCAGATACCAGGAAATCACCGTTGCGATGACTCAGTTTAAGTTGTGAATTCAGTGAAATGCAACACTTTTAAATGCCTTCCTAATAATGTAATGTTATTATTTATCTCACCCAGTTCGCTCCGTCTCACTCTACGGATGCGAAACATGGCCGTTAAGAGTAGAAGATGTTCGGAGGTTACGAGTATTCGATCATAGATGTCTTAGAAGCATTGCTTGTATATCGTAGGACAACCACATAAGCAATGCTGTCGTTAGGAAACGAGTTCTCGGTAGGGATGGCAAATCAATAGATGAAGTGGTGAAACTTCATCAGTTGAGGTGGTTGGGACATGTGTTACGTATGCCTAACCACCGACTGCCTCGACGAGCTATGTTTTGTGGTGTAGGAATAGGTTGGAAGAAAGCTAGGGGCGGCCAAACCAAAACATGGCACAAATCCATGAAGTCAATAACAACTGGACTGACTTATGTTGATAGATGTAGGCTATCTGGTTGGGGTCCGCGAGACGACAGTCACCGATGGTTAGAGACCTTGAACGACATGGCGCAGGTGCATCCACTGTTTGTGTGCTTTTTAATTCTAACCTTCTGAATTCCTCATAATCTCTATCTTTCTCCTTCTAAATTTACCTCCCTGAATTATACTTCTCGAATCATATCTTCGCTCCCTAATCTTATCCATTACTGCTAATTGTTCTGTTATTGCTATCACTGTTGGATTTGAACTGACAGTTGCGTCTGTGTGCTGATGTGGTATGGCAACCTGAACTGATGTACTTATGTACTTTTTGGTGTTAAATTAAGCAGTTAGTTAGATAATATCATATTGTAAAATGGATTATTTCACTGCTTTGCACAGTCTTGAATCAGTCAATGTTAGAACATTATTAGGAGCGTAACAGCACTGGACGACCGTTCCCTCCTGACATTGAACTCTTCAGCATTTCCCATCCATTTCTCCAGCTCACAGGAATCGTACCAAGTACCAGCGCCAGTATTCGTCTCATGGCTGTCTCCAACTCTCAACTTCATTGGTTCTTTGTTCTGGTGTATGTCTTTCCGTTTGGCTTTAAGTTATCGCTTTCTTCGTGATGTCGTTTAGTAATCTTCTCACTATGTGTCTACACTGAGAATTTGAAGCACACATGAAAAGAATAATTGTCATTTAGGTAGAACGTAAACGTAAGGCTCAAGGCAGATTAGGTCGGAGAATGCTGGTCGGCGGCCCCATGCTCCGACTGGCAGTGACGGTAATCAAATAAGCAATAATGTGTCTTCTCCCTCTCCAGGCGCTTTTTTACACCTTGATCAATCGATCTATTGATGATTGTTTTTCATTTCTTTACTCATCAGATTGGAGAATGAACGCACAATTATTGATTTGTCCAAATCGATTAAACAAGGTCGAATACCAAATATATTTTCACGTAATCATATCAATACATTATTGCAAGATGAGAATTATCGGAATTTATTAATGGCTCGTATAAATGAGAATCTTGCAAAAAATGTTTTACCAAATCAACCGCATATCGACAATGTGGTACGTATGTTTATATGTATATATATATATATATATATATATATATATATGTGTGTGTGTGTCAGTGTGCGCTCTTTTGTGTATGATGTTTCCATATTGGATGAATAGCTGTTTTCTTCTACCTTTACTATGCTGTGATATTGACTGCGTTTGTCAGTCAGTCAGTCAGTCCGGTGCAACGTAGAACTTCGTACGTAAGTACATCAGTTCATGTTGCCATACCATCACATCAGCACACAGAGATGTAATTGTCAATTCAAATCCAATAGTAGAAGAGGTAGTAAGGGAATTAGAAGTAATCGGAGAGGTTAGGATTAGAAGATATTATTCAAGAAGTATGATTCACCAAATAGAACTATGTCATCGGCATATTCTAAGTCAATAAGCGAGCCTCCTGGTAGTAGGTTTACTCCTGAAAATTCAGACGAGGATAAGGTTATTTCTCGGAGCATGTATATGATGAAATTAAACAAGAATGGAGAGAGTGGACATCCTAGCCGGACACCACTTGAAGTGAGGAATTCCGGTGACAGTTCGCCATAAGCTCTCACTTGAGCAACGGTGTTCGAGTAGAGAGCTTGTATAAGGTTAATGTGCGACAACGGTAATTAGTAATCAGCTGTGTTATAAGTAGGATGAGTTTATCTCATGCCATTGTTTAGGCGCGGCATCACATACAAGATACAAAGTGGGAAAACGCAACATGAAGCGAAATGATGAGAGCGAGTGGGACCACCATCCAGAAAATATGAGGTTCACAAGCACACAAATCGAGCGTCCTTGAGTGAGCCACAAAAATAGCGTACTAAAATGACAGTCAAGGATTTTCTGAGTGGGAAATGTTAAGCTGAAGATCAATTGAGCAGCTTATGCTCGAAAACCTTAAAAAAAATTCAAAATTAGGACTATTTCCAAATGATTTCTGGGTATCCGAACGTCCCCAACAGCTATGCACATACGCATGCTCAAATAAAACCAGCTAAAAAGTGACTGGAGGAAAGTAGATTGGTTGGTTTTTTCCCAAAAGCGAGAATAAGCCATGTAGGCTTGACATATATATCGGACAAAACATCAACTCATGTCATACATATTTAAATCATTAAAAACAGTTGTTCAATTGTACTGCGAAATAAATTGTCCACGAATTTCAAAATGATTGACATGCTTACTGTAGTATCCAGAAGAGGCTACTTCCACCTTTCAGTACATAAAACATATCAATCCATTCCACTGTGACGAAATTGTCTTCAGTTTAGTGCATTACTATTTCACAAGCCATCCCTAAATCGCTACAATATGATAGTTTCCTTCAATTTTCTTTGAATGAAACGATAGAATTGAGGCATTGTTATGTATGGAATAAATGATGTTTTTGAAATTACATTGGGCATTATGAGCCTAGGTCGACCGGTATTCTGCAACCATCTCTCTCCTGGGCTTTCCTTTCCACCTATATCCAATTGTTGTTCATTCTACGTATGTCTGTTCCCTTTCTCTCAACTTAATGGTGTTCTTTGCTGTTCCTCTTTTCCTTTGGCCTTGAGGACTTGCTTGTTTTGTGGTGCGATTGAGTTACAATTTTGAATTTAAAGAATTTATATGGATGTAAAGGTTCTACCATGCAATCAATAAAAATATCAATACAGATTTAATCATCATCTAATCAAAGATTGAAGCACTTGAAGAAAAGGGAGAAAAAAAAAACAGTCGGTTAAACTCTATTTATTGAGTCTAAAAAGATCACAACTTATAAACATAAATTTAATGATAGGCTAACTAGATGTAACTTAAAAATTCTCACTTCGATTTGATTTATGTTACACGTGTATGAGGGTGGATGTCACTTCCCGGCTGCGCACACCGTGGAATGGTTTTTCTTGAGGAACCTGAAATGGATTTTTATTTAGTTATATTCATGTTTTTCGGCGTATAGAAAAATAAGCGGTTTCTTTAAAGAGTTCATTCCCTTGAGCCTTTGGCCTACAGATCTTATCCGCTAGCTAATGAAGTAACGTCAGGAGATGCAGTTACATGTGAACTCGTAACTGACTCTATAGGTGTTTACATTGTCACAGAAGAGAATAAACTTTTATCTGCTGTATTTCCTAAGCAACATCCTGACCACGATGAAACAGTATGCACGCGTGAATGTTTGTATAGTAGATGTTTGGGGACGTTAGATCCCTAGAAATTACTTGATAAAGGTCCGAATTTTAGGTTTTATGTTTTCGAGCATGGGCTGATCAGTTGGCCCTCAGACTACAATTCCCACCAGGAAAATCTTCGGCTGCTTTTAGTTGATGTATTATTTAAGTACGCTATTTTTGTGGCTCTCCCAAGGACGTTTCTATCATGTTTAAATAAATTCGATTTATGTGCTTATCTCCCTTGTATTTTCTGGATGATTATTGAACACACTTTCTACGTGTTGTCAAGTGGACTGAGTCATGTTGGTAGATGTAGGCTAACTGGTTGGGGTCCGCAAGACGAAAGTCACCACGGGTTAGAGACCTTGAACGACATGGCTCAGAATCGTTTACAATGGTGCAGGTGCATCCACTCTTTGTGTTCTATGAAATTCTAAGCTTCTGCAGTCCTCACAATCTCTACCTTTCTCCTTCTAAATTTATCTCACTGAATTATACTTATCGAATCATATCTTCGAACCATAATCTTCTCCATTACTGCTAATACTTCTACTATCGTTATCACTCTTGGACTTGAACTGACAGTAGCGTCTGTTTGCTAATATGGTATGGCAACCTGAACTGATGTACTTATGTACGAAGTTCTGCATTGTATCTGTCTGTCTGTTTGTCTCTGTCTTGTCAAGGCTTATTCATCTACTCAGTGGGGCTTTGGGACGCTCGGATTAGAGTAACCTATCGTGTCACTGCATCATTTATCTTCCTTGTCGTTTACCAACTAAGGTGCACTCGTAAATAGTTCAAACTTATCAAGTGACGAGCATAACAGTTGAATAATAAATACTTATAGAATCCATTATCAGTGAAATCTGTAATGCAGTTATTAATTTGACTCATCAACTCTCGTGACTGTAACGTTCATTTGTACTGTCATCGTTGTCTCCGAAGCATTGCTCGTGTATCGTGAGACGACCTTATAAGCAATGCTGTCGTTAGGAAACAAGTTCTAGGTAGGCATGGCAAATCAACAAATGAAGTAGTGAAACGTCATCAATTGAGGTGTTTGGGAGATGTGTTGCGTATGACTAACCACCGACTGCCTCGACGAGCTATGTTTTGCAGTGTAGGAGTAGATTGGAAGAAAGCTAGGTGCGGCCAAACCAAAACATGGCAGACATCCATAAAGTCACTGACAAGTGGACCGAGTCATGTTGGTAGATGTATTCTACCTGTTTGGGGTCCGCGCAGGTGCATCCACTCTTTGTGTTCTATGAAATTCTAAGCTTCTGAATTCTTCATAATCTCTACCTTTCTCTTTCTAAATTTATCTTACTGATTTATACTTCTCGAATCATATCGTCGCTCCCTAATCTTATCCATTACTTCTAATAGTTCTATTATTGCTATCACTGTTGGATTTGCATCGACAGTTGTGTCTCTGTACTGATGGGGCATGGCTACCTGAACTGATGTACTTACGTACGAAGTTCTGTGTTGTATCCGTCTGTCTGTCATCTATTAACAGTTCAATATGCTAACTTGTCATTTATCCCTTATTAATACTTAATAGTATTATAAAAATCCTATTTCTTTTTCTTACTAGCCTATTCAACAATGGGATCAGTATAAAGCAATTCTATGGACTTTAAAACAAATGATCAATGGTTTAGAGTATAGTTTTCGACCAGATATTCTATTTCCAACTACCAATCAATATGATCGACTGAATCGACGAGATCAATCACCTTTGTCGTCAACTGCACCAAATTCATTGACCAATAATACTACTAGTAATACAACTAGTACTAGTTGGTTAACTTATTCAACGGGTATGTTAAAAACTGGTGGTTTAGCTTCTGCATTTATGCTTATGGAAATTGCCCATACACATTATTATCGATTACCGAATCGTACAAATAATCATGCTATGAATAATAATCAGAATGAATCATTCTTATGGAATAGTATGCCAACTACACCGACTACTGAAGTAAGATCACCGTTAATGTCGACAAGAATTAATGCCAACAATGGTTATGCATCATCAGTTCGATATACGGTAAGTGTATGTATGTAAAATCAGCCGATAAACACTTGGGAGATTGTTGACCTTGAATCGTATTTTCTATGCCTACGCTTTTCCATTACCACTGATATTGTTACTACATCTACTACTATCCTACCGTAGCTGCTGCTACATTGACGTTGTTGTCGTGCTTGTCTATCGTGATGACCCAACCGAGCTATATTGGCTGGAACTCATGTTCCTGAAGGTTCTACCATGTCAGGCATGTCGATTGGAGAACGATCAGACTAAAAGCAGGTATTCAAGATTTGAGGGCAAAGTCGTACTGCTGACTGTGATGGAGGGGTGTGACAGCAGTAAGGCGTTTCCCTCGAACAACCAATATCTGCAGTGATTCTGCCTTTTCACAAGGAAGCAATGGTTTAGAAAAGGTCGACCTTGAAAATGTCACACCTCACCTTACCTCATGAGTTTCTGTCTAGGGCGACAAAGCGTTTTAAAGAGTGAAACTTACACTTCCGAAACATGTCATAAAAGGGTCACTGGCCTGAATCAGCTGTACCCTGGCCTGTGGGGTCACATTCCCAAGTTACTAAGACCAACGCTAATCTAAATTCCTTTTCAAATTCCTCTAGAAACACCATTTCACACTGTGCGCGATTGGGAATAGAAATCCGCCCTCGTATTCGTAACAACCCACGAGATCAAATGAGTCACAGTCAAATCCTCCCTACTGCTTCTAATAACTCTTATCTTCTAGACCAACCAGGGTATACCAACTTTCAGTGCGGCATCTATGTATCAAGTTCTACAGTGTAAATGACTGACAATAATCTGCTGAGAGATAGCTTCAGTTTGTTTATAAAATTGAATACAATAACATGTTTGTTTCAGTGGTAGTTCTGTATGAGATTTAGTGTTATGTCAATATTTCGAGATAGATTGTATACAGATTCGCATTGATCTTACGCAATGAAAATGTAACTCATCAGCAGTGTGCATGCACAATTCTTGCACCTCGCATGATTCGAACTCAGGACCTTCAATCCTGTTCGCGAATTCCTCACCTCAGCTGGTGTTAATGTCTAACTCTGATATATCAATTTTCCGCGACTTCACCTATTTGTCTTCGGTAGTTGCTGCCCACAACCAACAGGGTTCAACTCAATTGTTCATGTTTTCCAGTCACTAGTGAGCATACTGTAGAGTTTAGTTTTGTATGTTCAAATCCTAAGGTCCTGAGTTCGAATCCTGCTAGTGGCAAGAGTCGTAGAGGCGCGCTGCCGATTAGTAGTCCCATATCAAGACGAAACAATTATCCAGTACTTCCAGGTTTCTAATGCTGGTCTAACAATGATCAATTGATGATTTCAACTGAGATCCATAACTTCACTTTCAATACAGCTTCATATAAACACTACCCTTCTTGTGTTGTGTAAAATGGTACTCGACAGTAGCCAGAATCGTATAAGTAAACCATTTTTATGTGTTATTGATACATTTTTTGCACGTTTATTGAAATTTCCTTTTTTTTTATTCTAGAATGATCGATTAGATTTGTCCGACTGTGAATCATACAATGGCAGTCGCACAAAACTAGGTAAGATGGTTGTGAGTGTTGCACTAACCCTCAACGCCCTAGTTTCCATTTGTTTGTTTGTTTATTGTAAGACGACGATTGATTTTATTTATATACATTTGTGTGTGTATAAAGATTAGACTGAGTTTTTTGTTACTATATAGTTGGATATCAGGTAATCACATGTAACTTGATATTGAATACCGCTGATCGAATAATTCATGTACACTTGTATATATCACGGGATAACAGTCACTGGGACACCTGGTGATATGGGCTGGACTGCAATAATGTTGAATCAACAATCCTCATTTGAATTTTTGAGGTTATGGTGATTGTTGAGTTACTTTGTGAGATCATGATGAATCGATCAATGTTAGAAGACCACCACCATTGGAAAGCTGGAAGCAATCACTGGATGGTCGTTCTGTCCTGGCTCGGCACTTATCAGCATGGCGCATCCACGACTCCTGCACCTCACAGGATTCGAACCCAGGAATTTTGGTTTTGCACTCAAACGCCTAACCTCTGGACCGTTGGGCTGGCATCCAACGGTGTTTATTAGTGATTGTGTAGTTTCACGTTTTAATTATTTGTTTTTTTGTCTGTTATGGGTTGTTGGACATTGTTGAGTTTCACTGAAATCAAAATTCGTTACTTTTTGCACTACTATTGAAAACCTGGAAACACCAACCAATGCTTCGACTCACTAGCAAGGCATATCAATGATCCTATAAGCAGAAAACGAACTTGACTCACTCACTGTCGTACATGAACGCTTGATCTATTTACCGATGAGCCAGCATTCAGTAGTGGTAATGTCAGACAGACAGATACAACGCAGAACTTCGTACGTAAGTACATCAGTTCAGGTTGCCGTACCACGTCAGTACAGAGACACAACTGTCAGTTCAAATCCAACAGTGATAGCAATAATAGAAGTATTAGCAGTAATGGAGAAGATTAGGAAGCGAAAATATGATTCGAGAAGTATAATTCAGTAAGATAAATTTAGAAAGAGAAAGATAGAGATTATGAGGAATGCCGAAGCTTAGAATTTCAATAGAACACAAAGAGTTGATGCACCTGCGCCATGTCGTTCAAGGTCTCTAACCATCGGTGACTGTCTTCATCGGCGACACAGTTAAACTCCACTAGTCACATCTCACCAGCAAATTGTTGACATTCAATGAAATTATTCACCGATTTTCAATGAGGAAGCACTAGTCTGTCTGTCATTTTGTCTTAGTACAGGACTCATCCTCTCCGCCTATCATTGGTTGAAGCCATAGTCAGATGTGTAGTTAAAATCCTATGCGTGCCATTCTAACCTCCACTTCATATATAAGTAAGTTTAAAACACCTTAACATTTCCCATACTCTCAGTCAATTAAAGAGATTAATGAATATTGAAGTGTAATTTTCTAATCTTGTTTTAATCATCAGCTGATTTCAACGCATTGAGATCACTTTCAGTTAAAATAACTTAAAATAATCAATCAAATTGTTTTGTCACATGATCAATACGATCACATGTGACGTAGTACTGACTGACTGGCTGACTGACTGTTTCTCTGTCCAACTATAAGTCTTTTATAGTCTTTTATTAGTCGCTTAGTTTATTTCGATCGACAAGAGTCATTTGTCACTTCCTTATGCGTTGATTGTGTTTGTATTGTGTTTGATCATGTGAAATAAATAATGTATTGTTTCTCGTTTGTATTTTACTACTGATCACGTTTCTCAATATTATAAAAATAAAACTCACAATCTAATCATACATAACACACACACATTCAATGATGCGTTTATAGAAGATAATTGTGGTGGTTGGTGTGTTGGATTGTGTCGCCTACTTGTAGTTCCGCTTAATGAATCCTACGTCTGCGTACATTTCTTTTGCGTTTATCCAAAGATTTGTAGATGATATCATGATATCGATTGTAACTAGGTTAGTTATTAACCATAGATGAGGAAGTGGGTATGAGTGAGTGAGTGTGTGTGTGTGTGTGTGTGTGAAACCCATCCACCATTTCTCTATCTTGCCAATTTGCGTACATGCCAAGTTAAAATCATTAAGTTTTTCTCTAGTGGTAGCAGTTCATGTTTCCCACTTCAGTCACTTCATGATACCGCTACTGGCGGACTACGATTAATATGGGTATGATGGCGGTTGTTACATCTCCAGTTGCCCTACGCTGTGGAAGTGTTACTTCTGTCTGTCAATCGCCGTTTCATTTTCTCTAAGCTAAAATGATAAAAACTTTGAATTGGATAGCTCTACAAATCGTCGATGCTACTAGATCTAGTGAACCAATCAGAAGTAGCCAAATGTGAAGATCATTTGATGACTATCAGAAAATGTCGGAAAGTACGAATAAATATGATTGATTTCTTAAATTGACTATTTTCAGTCATTGTCTTCATCATCTAAGATCAGTGACTAAACTTCTAGTATGGGACTCGTCGGTACTGAGTATTCATGAATTCTAGCTTCACAGACGAATGATTTACCTCTTGACCACTGAGATGACGTCTGGATAGTGTTTTTAATGTCTAACTGGAATGAATCCATTGTCCTCGGTGTATGATTGCCACATAGGTGACACAGTTGAACCCCTTCTGATTACAGCTTCTCACTAGAACCACGAAAAATTCGCAGACGAAACTATAGTCTCTAGAGTTATAGAGATTGTTGAGTTTCATTGAAATCATGAATCAATCATTGTTTCAGCACCAACGTAAACCTGAAAGCGCTGGACGACTGAAAAATGGGAACCAACACTGGACAGTATTGAAAAGTAAACAGATTATGCAGCCCAAAAACGTTTAGATCAATTCTCAGGAGAAAAAGTATTAGATTTTGCGACATGTAACTTATAACTACACTTACGTTACCATAATAATTGATTTCTACGCCATGGCACTGAATGTGAGTAATCATTGATTACTGTTATCGTATTTAACCAAGCAATTTGTATCTTTTTAGAAAACCAGTGCAGTTGCATTTCTTTCCCAACCTTTAACTGCAGACAGATAGACAGACAGATACAACAATTTGGTCTCGTGTGTTGGTACAGGTATGAGGGCGGTTGTCACTTCCTGGCTGCCCACACACCTGAAAAAGAAGGTAGATTGCCGTTGGTCTTAACGACCTGGGAGCGAGACCGCAGAGTCCAAGGGACTACTGCTTGAGGCCAGTCACGCACGGCCTTTTTATGAGAAGCTTTTTGAGTCTTAGCTCCGTTCTTAAAGGCCCTTAGTGGGCACCCTTACCGACGGAGACGGAAATCCGTGAGGTAGGGTGAAGTGTGACATTTTTAGGGTCGAGATTTTCTAACCCTTCCTTTCTTGTGAGAAGGCAGCATCGCTGCAGATGCTGGTTGTCCGAGGGAAACACCTTACTGCTGTCACACCCATCTGCAGTCAGTCAGCAGTACGACTTCGCCCTCAAACCTTGGGTAGCTGCTTTTATTCTCATCGTTCTCCAATCGACCAGCCTGGCATGGTAGGACCTTCAGGGACATAAGTCCCAGCCAATATAGCAGAAAACTACAAGATAAATTTGCTTCAGATATAAAGAACTCTTCATTGGCTCAATGCTTCCTATGTTTTCATTAGACTGACATCTGTCATTTTTACTCAATACCTTACACCTCACCTCAGCATCATTCAGTTGGTAGAGGCGTTTCCGAAAACGCGAATCCAGCATTGTAATTTCTGTCTGATTTGTGAATGTACACAACTACAACGGGACAATTAAATTGCTTTCCTCTACAAATCGCATTTTCTTTTTTTTCAGCGAAATAATGTGGATTATTTTAAAATTGGAATTTTCCATGATTTTCTTCTTTTGATTATTATTGTTATGACATTGTGTTTATTTACTGTTTGCATTGGATTCTAGTTCCGAATAATAGTTCCATGACATTTCAACAACAGCGGCAACTATATCGCACAACTCACCCCAACTATCGTCATCACGGTCATGAGAACAAGCAACACCCACAACAGTTATCGAATAGTCGATCACGATTACCTAATGTCAGCAGTACTAGTACATCTATCAAAATTCCCAACAGCTCCACTACCACCACTACTACTACTACTAATAGCACTACTAATACTACTGATATAACTGATACACATCTTTTATCGAATTCTTTACAATATTTAGAAAATACATTTGAACTAAGCAATATTTCTAATAAATTAATTTCAGTGAAAACAAAATTTGATCAGTCCAATCAATATTTCACCAATGTCTCATCGAAATTATTGAATAATTTTAAACCGACTCAATATTTCTCTACATTCACAACAACAAGTACTCCTCATTCAGCGCATACAAATACAATTGATACGAATCATGTTGATCATGGGCATAATAATAATAATAATAACTTGACGAATTCATCACCTTTTCATCCAATCGGAACAACAGCTTCCATAAATTCACCGTTTATCATCCGTGGGGTACATATTGAACATCATAGTGAGCAAAGAATTGTAGTGTGTGTGTGTAGATAGTTTGTTTAGTTTAGTGTAGTCTAGTCTAGTCCAGAGACGACCAATGCACGAATCTATGTTGTGTGTAGAATGTGTTGTAGTCTTTGAAGCTAACTCATGTGTGTGTATGTGTGTGTGGGTGTGTACGGGCGTAGTTGTTGTTCAACCGTCAATATTCTTACTGCTTGAATTTTTTTCCCACTGTAGAGACACAGATCACTGTTGCACTGTGATTGATTGTTTTTCAATGGTATACTTCTCACAGGTTATTTCACCTAATGTTTCTCACTTTCTTTTGTATTCTATAACTGTCATAGATTTATTACCCGGTCATGGGAGTAGTCATCAATTCACCAATGTTATTGTTACAATGAGTGAACCGTCATCAGATAAAGAAGAACAAGACAATGGGCGAATTCAATCGAGCCATTTGTTTAAATCAGATAGTGTTGATTTAATGAAACAAAATGTTCAATTGTTCAATCATACAAATATTAATAATAATAATAATAGTAATAATAAAAATACACTCAACACTATCAATACTACTTATAAAAAATTCGAAAAATTATCAACTTCAGATACGAAACTACATGAATCCTCCATCAACAAGATGAAACAACTAGCTCGTGATAATCACGATGATGATGATGATGATGAGCGACGTCTACCAACCGATTGTATCCCGGAATTACCGATACGTAAAAGTCAACGAAGTTTTGGTTATAGGTAAGTAGTAGTAGTAGTAGTCAATGTACGAATATGAATGAATGAATGAATGTATTTTTAGAATAGAACAAAGTTATGGTGTATTTGTGCGCTATACATTTTGACCAATCTGATTGTTGGGGATGTTAGATACCCAAAACTTGCCCCGATTTTGGATTTCACGTTTGCGAGCATGGGCTGAGCAGTTGACCTTGAGACTTCATTTCCCAACAGGAAAATCCATGGCTGTGATTGGCTCCTGTGTACTTTAGTGTGTTGTTTTCGTAACTGTCCGAAGGACGTTTCTATGATGGATAAATAAACGAGAGTTGTATGCTTGATTGTATTGTGATTGCTGGGTGTTTGTAGAATATACTTTCTACGCTTACAAAGCCTTCTATTTACAGCTTGGGATTCAAGGTAGCCTACCTGGACGCTGGTAATTGTCTCGTTTGCGTTTATCGACTATGGTGAACTCATAATAGCTTCAATCGTACCTAGTGACGAACTTATCACTGATCACACTTATGTACATACTTTTACATATGAAAATTAATAAAAGGTCAATCAAATGTGTAACTTAACAATCTGCATAATCCTGTAATTCAGTTACGCGTGCTCACTAGTGACTAGCTCCATGAGGAATCTTCTACGAGTTCTAGTTGGAAGTTGGGACCAGTGAAGTTCAAGCTGTTCGGCTGTAGACAGTAACTACCGAAAACACTTTATGGGGCTGTGCAACTCTGTGAATTAATCCAAGTTGGATAATAACACTGTTAGATACCGGCTCAGTAGTCCAGAGGTTCGGTGTTCGCGTGCAAGACCGAAGGTCTTGGGTTCGAATGTACACTGCTGATGAGTCCCATACCAGGACTAAACGTCCGTTCTGTGCTTCTAGGTTTCTAATAGTTGTCTAACATTAATTAATTCATGATTGTAAATGTGTAAAAGTTCAAATAGATACAAGGTGATTATTGTCAATGAAGAAAACAGAAAGTTAACATAATTTAGCGAAAGAATAAGAAAGGGTACGAAATTGTCTGATTACCTCCTACGCCATATAATGGCTTCAAGATTACCACGTAAATCCAAGGTTTTCCTTTCAGAGGCGAATCACATAGTTTAATCTTAAGAGCAGTCATAAGGAAAAGATACTACGCGGCTAGACTGATAGGAACTGGACAGACTAAACTTCTGATTCCACCTAGGCCTAGACATAGCTTGAATAACTACGTTTATCAGTTTACATGTTAATGGGTAGACACATACATAGGAAGGTGCAATCGAACTTTACAATGAAAGGTGGCTTTAAAAGCAGTTAACTTCAGATGAACTCCGATAAACAGTGGGAAATAGAAAACCATGTTCATCGATCGCAAAACACATAATTAAAACGTGTCATGAGATTGACATCAAGACAACCTTTAAAGCATTGGATAGAAATGTTTTAGGACGAATTGTGTGATATATAGAAGCCTTGACTATTCATAAATTCGAACCTCTCACTTCTCTGTACAGAAACAGAATCTTTAAGCCAATTTATGGCCTACGGGGTTCATGTGACAATTTTCCTACCCTTTCTTATTCTTTCCAAAATAACGTTAATTTTCTCTCTCCTTCATTTAAAATTATCACCTTATGTCTAGTTGAACTTTTATTTATAAATGACCTTTTATTAATTTTCGTATTATTAAAACGCCTTAACAAATGTGTGACCTGATTGTTCGAAATGTATAGCGCGCAAATACATCACAACATCTTTCTGATCCAAAAAGGTCTTCTCATGGTTTTATCAAAATTTATAGAGGAGACTAACTAAGTGTTTGAAATTTGTGACTGTATCCCTTCTTTGCGTGGTTTTTACGTATTTATTTCACACTTTCTATGTTACGAATACTGACTGATGGAAAACTAATGTGTATCGGAACAGTAAAGTGGGTTATTGGCCCAGCAGTGGATTCCGAGAAGTGTGTTTCATCTTAGTTATAGTGGTAGATAACGCGCACTGGGCGTTTGAAATGATGAAAGCTACCAAATTCAAATGCTGACCTGAATGTGTACGCATTGATATGAAGGTACATCTGTCTGATCAGTTTTAGACAGGACGAAACATGCATCATTTTGTTCGGTGCTATCCATCATCCAACTGTACTGAAACCTGTGAAATTATGACATAGTTGAAGCAATTCTCACAACCTGAAAGTACACTAAGACAGACTGATCAATCGCAATAAGTCGACACTAACATTTCTAAGTACTGATATGAATAGGTTAAATAGAGCTAGTTTCTTCAGTGTACAACATGACTATATGCTCCTGAGGATGACGGTGAACCACCGACCAGCGGAATAGAGTCAATCCTGGAAATTAAACCTGTAGAGGCTTTTTCATTGTGTTGGAAATTATTTGTACTGTCGACGGATATCAATTACTGGATCACTTCCCATGAGAACAGTATTCAGAAGAACCAAACGAAATTATCTTACAGGCAATTGATGTAGTTCTAAGTGTGGAAAGATTGAACGCTAGGTGTAGGGGATGTTAGATCCCCATAACTCACTTGTTAAATGCCTTATTTTGGATTCTACGTTTGCCAGCATGGGCTGATCAGTTGACCTTGAGATTTCAATTCCCACCACGAAAATCCATGGCTGTGATTGGCTGCTGTGTATTTTATTAGTATGCTATTTTCATAACTTTCCCAAGGACGTTTCTATGATGTATGAACAAACGAGAGTTGTATGCTTGATTGTACTGTGTGATTGCTGGGTGTTTCTTGTAGAATATACTTTCAACGCTTACAAAGCCTTTTTTTTACTTCCGCTGGAATTCAAGGTAGCCTACCTGAACACTGGTTCATTGTGTCGTTTCGCGTTTATCGACTAAGCTAAACTCGTAATAATAGCCTCAAGCATACTTAGCGACGAACATAATACAATCATCCTTTTAATCCAAAAACATTTTCTCCGCCATTTCAATATTTTTTTCAGTTTTTAGTCTTTTGATTGCATCATTTAAAAAGTTTCCTAATTTTTTTTTTCAAATTTTTATTCATTCAATTAAAAATACACCACAGATATTATCATTCATATTTAATTCTAACGGATCCATCAATCATTTCCAATGCCACGGATCATTCAATTCATGAGGAGGATACAACCAATTGTCTAATCTATAATTCCACTGCATTGCATAATTCAACAACAACAACAGTGACAACTACACCGCCAGCAATCTATTGTCCAAATATCAAATTTCATTTTAATCAATCGCAATCAGATCATGAAAATGATGAAAATGTTGATTATTATCATGATCACGATCAACACCAACAACCGCAGCAGCCGGAGCAACAAGTTCCACCAGTAGAACAACCATCACAAAATATGTGTCAACTGACTCTATTGACACCAACTCCATCTCCACCGATTGCGACATCAACATCATCATCATCACCATTATCATCATCCTCGTCTTCATCGTTGTCAGCCAATCGATCAACTATGAATAAAATAGTGCCATGGACTTATTTATTTGAAGATATTTTTAATGTTGACTTGCAAAAATTCAAAATATTGAATAATTTACAATTTTGGGAAGATTGTTTTTTAGATACAGTTGCACAAGAACGTGATATACTTGGTTAGTTTTTGTTATTGTTGTGTTGTGTTGTGTTGCGTTGTGTTTCTTTCTATATCGTTTAATCATGAATTGACCAACGTTAGACCATGATTAGAAGCTTGGAAGCATTGGACGTCCATTTTGGTCCTGGTATGGGACAAGTCGGCAGCGCGCATCCACGACACCGTTGTAATTGACGGGACTCGAATCCAGGACTTTCGGTCTGGAGTGCGAACACCCAACCTCTGGACTACTGAGCTGGGTATCTGACGCTGTTGATGTCTAACGTCGATCAATTCATGGTCTTGCATAACCTTATACACTGCCTAACACCCGAACAGAGTGGAACTCTACTGGTCATGACTTCTCACTGGAACTTGGAGAAATGAGGATAACACAAATATAAGCCAACAGTAGTGTTGTTTTTAATTAGATCGTCATCGGCCTTCATTCTTTAATATACATGAATATTTAAAAGGAAATGTTAAACCAATCAAGGCAATTCATAAGTCAACAACGATTACATAACTAAAACCTATTAGATAATTGTACAAGTTGGTGGTAGGAAGACTTGTGTACTGATAAGAAGACTGAGGCAGGCTCGATAGATTGTATTTAGCAAATTTACACTCTCTTAGTCAATTAAAAACGAAAAGATTACATTGAACACACTCTATTTGCTCACCATCTTTGAGTTGTGACTTCCAACGCTCCATCCTTCTTCTTCAGTTCCTGTTGTTGCTTCCTCTACTTCCTGCTGGTGGTACTACTCCATTTACTTCTTGCTTTTGCTTTCCGTTTTCCTCTTCTGACCGTGGTGAGACTTCTTCTTTCACGTCCCTTCTTATACTACTTATATCGTTCGTATAAGTAGCACACACCACACTGATAGTATTAGGAATAATAAAATATGATGCTAAAAACTTTGCCAATCGTTCAAATTATGATCACAAAGCATGATAACAGTGACGTAATAAGTAGTGTTTCAATAAATTAGATTGTGAAGAATATAAACGGAAAGAGGCGAAAAATTGCAAACAATTACAGGATGTGAAAATAATGTTATTTATAAGATAAAATCTAATCGTTTAATAATATATATATATATATATTTCAATGTATTTAATTTTTTCAAGTATTAAGTAAAAAGCGATTTTCCATCAATTGGCCAAGAAATCGAAAGTTACGTAATAATCTTAAAAGTTGTAAGATGTAGGTGTCTGTTTGGTGAAAATAAAAGATTTTGTAAAGAAAGGAGAAGACGAACATTATAATCAGTTCTAATTATTTATAAACGTCCAAAGATGTGCTACGACCTTTTTTGTATAGAGAGATCGGGTTTGAAACGGTGAACTGCTATATCCTCAGCTGTGCTCAAATTCCTCATTTAAGCCTTCTTTGAGCGGATTCTTTTCATATTCGAAAGAATTTTGAAAAAAAACAATACTTGTAGGGTGGTGGGTGGGTTGTAACGTGAGTTAACCCATACGGTCAAGAATTCAGTTGTTGATTGATTTGCATTTTTATTTAGATTACCATATAAGGTAAGCAGTCTACAGCTAACTAACATGGCTTAGTTCAGTTGTCACACTGCGAGCTTCATCGATGTGTTCCATATCTGATTTGGCAACAACTAGCTAGCTATGTTCCAGTCTACGCTTACATGAGACTGACATAGCTGGTCGTGGTCGTCGGTGGTTAGGCATACATAGCACATGTCCTGCCCACCGCAACGGATGAAAATGCACCATTTCATCACCATCCTTTCTTTTTTGTACTCTCCCTAACATAAGCATTGGTTACTAGAGGTTTTTCGAGATATACTAGTTATATTTCGAAGAGATATTCAAAGCCTATCATGCCGCATTAGTTTTGTAATCAGAGTTTCTTTAACGCTACTCACTAAACTGGTTTAAGAAGCCTCAACCGTACATTCACATTCCTTCCTCTGAATTTTATTAAAACAATATTTATATCACAGTAAAAATCAGTCAATAGTAGCTACACATGTATTTGAAGAAGTCCAGCAGATGCTCCTCGCCTTCCTCGGGAACCTAGTCATTCGAGGAGGATGAACTTTGTTTTACGTTATTATTCACTGCAACTTTTTATTCATACTGTCTATGTCTAATCATGGTCAACCAACAGGCCTGCTGCACATGCACATCGCTGCGTTGATATGCAGCGCAAGGATTCTCATTGTTGCCAACAGTAGTGACCCCAGCCCCTTTCGGGAACATACATGTTTTCCGGTCTGGTCTGCAGACAAGTTGGACGTCCAAAAAGCACGCACACGAGTAGTGGCCCCTGCACGGGCACTTATGAATCAAGGAATCCCACCAACCAAACCACAGCCCACAATCCCCAGTCGGCGAGGGCGGCAAGTCGTGCTTATCCTTCCGGACAAGGCACCCCGTAGCAGGTTACCGAGCCACCCAAGCAGTGCACTAACCAGAAGCCATTCCAACCGTCTGGCTTCCAACAGCCCTGCGCTGAACAATTGATCGGAGTCCTCAAAACCCCACATAAAGCTAAAGATCGAGTTTGTCCGACAAGATCAGCTAGAACGTACACCTTTCCATGAGGAAGATGTCATGGACTCGACCAAACGCAAGCGCTTAGCCAAGCAGGGTTCATCCCACAGAAGTGGGCAGACATCATTGGTGTTCAGTACCCTTTCAGCACTAAAGCATGGAAACCCAACTGGAGACCCTTGTTTAAGGGGCCTCGACGCCAGTTCACACCCTACATCGGGTGCAGAGTATAAGGGACAACTACATAGGGTCGGCGCCAGTAGTCCAGGATGTCTGCGGCTGCTTCCCAGAACATAGCGTCCAGGACCGTCCTCGATCATCCTACTACATCCCTTTCAAGAATTTACCTACGCTTGAAGGACGGGACGTTCAGTCTTAATCCCCCAGAGTGGTCAAACGCATCCATAGCCGTGCGACCATGAGTATGCCATTTGTCCGGACCATGTTAAGCACGGTATCCTAAGCTATCGGAACGGAATTTATCCGCAGCGATGTATCCACCGTCACGTTGCCTAGCGGGACCACGAAGCGGTATCCGTCACCACAACCCCTCAAAGGCTCCACTTATTGCTCAACGTGGCATTTGGCTACCTTAAGACAGTCATAGTTACTCCCGCCATTACTTACTTACTTACTTACGCCTGTTACCCCCAATGGAGCATAGGCAGCCCACCAGTTATCTCCAACCAACTCTGTCCTGGGCTTCCCTCTCCAGTTCTGTCCAATGTTTGGTCATTCCTCTCATATCTTTCTCTCTATTTCTCGGCGTAATGTGTTCCTTGACCTTCCTCTTTTCCTTTTTACCTTGAGGGTTCCAAAAGTGAGGGCTTGTCTTGTGACGCAGTTAGGTACTTTTCCCTAGTGTGTATGTGTCCTATCCACCAACTCCACCCGCTTCTTCCTGATTTCCTCCTCCTTCTCTACTGAAGGAATCTGGTTTATTCTCTTCCACACAGTTGTGTTGTTGCTGTTGCTGCTGCTGATTGCGTGTCTGGCCAAACGAATCCAAAGTATTTTTGCGTAGACAACTACTTGTGAATAATCAACACTTGTGGTGGCGGATATGATACCTTTCGTATTACGCATATTTACACATAGTTATGGAGTTGAATTACTCTACTCTACTCTACTCTAATCTACTCTACTCTTTCTCACATTTTTTTTTTCAGGTATGGATTTTCGACCAAAAGATTTATTATACAAATATCACAATGCTTCCTCCTTATTGAAACGTAAACAAATGGAATTAGAAGAAGATTGTTTATTAGTGAATATTATGCATAATATGATTGCATTTATGTTAATGTCTAATGTGAATCGTACATTGATACGTAAAAAATTACAACGTCTACTTGCAAAAAGTCATACAGGTTTACATTATTCTAAAAAAATTAATGATTTATTAAATTCATTGGATTATTTAGTAAGTTTTTTTCTGTTTTTTTTTTTGTTTTTTCATTTTTAAAGTAGAATAGGAAAGGTTGTGTGTGTGTGTGTTACTTGTGTGGTACTTGGTACTTCGGTGTACGTTACCTACATATCATTTTACCTATTTTCCTGATGCGCCGTTAGGCCTACTTATTTCAGGTAGGCGAGATATGCGTTTGCTGACTAAAGGATGAGTGTACTGTGCAGTGGTTCGCTCCGTCTTACTTTATGGCTGTGAAACACATTGCCAGTGAGAGTAGAAGATATTCGTAGGTTATACTGGTTTTCGATCATAGGTGTCTTCGAAGCATTGCTCGTATATCATGGGACAGTCAAGTGAGCAACGCTGTTATTAGGAAACGAGTTCTAGGTAGGGGTGGCAGATCAATAAATGAAATAATGAAACTTTATCAGTTGAGGTGGTTGGGACTGTTTCACATGCCGTCATATGAATATCACTAGTGTACAAACCTCCGTCCATGCGTTTTACTACATATATGTATGAGCACAAACACATTAGACGTGGGTTTGATGGTCACCTACCACTCTCAGGTATGTTTTTACCGACTCATCTGTATAGGCTGGGGTCTACGCAATTCATATATGTAAGCATACAGTTCGGGCAGTCCTTTCCGGGTTTTTTGATAGTAAGCTTCGATTGGCTTTGTTAATCAGTGACCTAGTCGGGCTGGATGATTAGTTCGATCTCCACCGACCGCTTAAGTTAATGAATAGGGTTTCCGTTACTACCTAGCTGTTCCACCAAATGGCCATAGGAGGCATTTTAGGAGTGTGTTAGGTTCGATGGTTTCATTGCAAAGCTGTGAATGGCTTGTCCTGACGTCATTTTTTCTTCGTGTTTATGTTTCTGATGATTATGTTATTAGATAGTCGTCTGATCAGTTTGATTTACTTTTGATGCATAAAGTTGTATGTGCTTAATGATTAGATCTGAAAAGTGGCAAACTAATTTTAAAAACCTGTGATTGACAATCAAGAATATTTTGTTTAGTAATGATGCTTGTCCTACTGACCTCGTGACCTTGACTGGTTGTTATTGACCTTTAACCTGTCCTAGTCTCTACCCTTTGATTTTGATTGTATTTTCCCATTTGATCTGTTTTAATGATCCCTATGTTTGCCTGTGATTTTCCTGATCGATTGTTAAATTGGATCAATATCGATGTGTTTGTGGATTACTGGATTGACTTGAGTGCTCTTCTTTCTACCCCCTCTATCCATTATTTCGATAGTTTTCTAATCGAATATGTCTCTTGATATATTAGTATACAAAAAGAAATGTCATCACGTTTAACTCGAGATTGATGTTTCCGTGAGAGGAGGCTAAAGCGGATGTTCACTTTGTTTCTGATCGGTTTATTTTGAACGTGATGTTCAGTTTTTTATACTTTTATCATAATCATCCGTCGGATTTACAAATTTTCCCCGACATTTCAAGTGTATTATCAGAAAGTGGGAATAAGATATAACAATTTGTAGAAATTTGGATGCAATCAATCAGCAGCATCGTAGAACTTCGTACGTACACACGTCAGTTCAAGTTGCTGTATCACGTTAGCACGGATATGTAATTGTCGATTTAAATCCCATAGTAGTAGAGGTGGTAGTAGAGAGTGAGAGATTAGGGTTCGACGATATTATTCAAAAAGTGTATTCAAGTAAGATAGCTTTAGAAAGAATAAGATAAAGTGATGAGGAGGAATTCAGGTTACGATTTGAGAGAATTCAAAGAATGAAAGCTACTGTGCCATTGTAAATGTTTTTGAGCCAAGTCATTCAGGGTCTCTAACCATTAATTACTGTCATTTCACAGGCCCCAACCAGTTGGTCAACACCTACCGACATGACTCTTTTTAGTTGTTAGTGAAGCCATGGATTTGTACCATGTTTTGGTGTGGCCGCCCCCTATCTTTCTTCCAACCTATTCCTACAACACAAAACATCGCTCGTTGAGGCAGTTGACGGTTGGACGTTCGTAACATATGTTCCAACCACCTCAACTGCCATCCTTACCTAGTACCCATTTCCTAACAACGGCTTTGGATTAGCCTACTTTAAGTGCTTTCGACCATTAAAATGACATAGTTTGTTGAAACTAACTGGTCAACTGAAGTATCCGTAATAAACTTCATGGTAACTTACTTGACATTGTGATACGATTGAGTGATGATGACGAGCTGTAGATGTTTCATCTGTTTGTGGTGTTGTTTCGTTATGTGAGCTGGATGGGGTTTGCTTGTGAAGCTTTCTTTGTTCGCCCTCTGGAGAACATCATCAGCACAAACTTCAAATAGAAGACTTCACTTCTCTATCTGAAGTTTGCGCTGATGATGTTGTTCAGAAGGCAAACAATGAAAGCTTTTCAACCGTACCACCAAAACACCACCACAATCATCCACCTGAGCTACAAATGTTCTATACATTTGATCTGTACTGTAATCTTGTTTAGTTGAATGCATTTATTAGTACGTTGTATTGTTGGCTTTGTGCCAAAATTCTCAGTATTTTAGCATGTGATTGATATCTAGTTGTTGTTTGAAGTCAGTTACGTTATCGATCCCCATGTTTATATCTCACACATTGACTTCATATTCAAACTGATTTCAGTGGAAAAAGGTGATAAGACAACAGCAAAAATAGTCATCCGTAAAACTGCTCAGTCACTGGTCAAGAGGTTAAGCTTTTGTGTGCGAGACCATTAACGATGCGTTTGATTTCTGCTTGAAGTCTCAAGAGTGTTCACTGCTGGTGAGTTCTATATTACGACTAAACGATCGATTAGTACTTCCTGGTTTCTAATGCTGATCCAACATTGATCAGCCCATGATATCGATTGTAAATAAATCCAACATGAAAATTGCTGGTTCGAATTTTTCGTCCCATCAAAATACGCTTCAACCAATATCAACATAGCCAGATGTCGATAATTCGGTGAAGAAAGGGGAAATGAACTATGACTACTTATAAGTAGTATAGTTACAAATCGGAAATTTTATGCATTTTTCGTTGTAAACCGATCAGCACGCAATCGGAGCAATCAATTCACCGCTCGACAGGATAATACAATATAGGCTTCTTCGACACCACAGTATGCCTAAAAATATAGTCAATATCATACAGAATTCTTATGATGGACTGAACTGCAAAATCATACCTGGAGGGGACAGCTCAAAGACTTTTTCCAAGCGAAAACCGATATCTGGCTAGATTGCTTACTCTCAGCCGATCTGATATGTCACTCTTTTCCCTGGTAGTAACTTCTGGGTGATATTCCGCTGCATACTACTTATTATATCCACTATACGAGTAGTATTCATAGCTGATTTTTTAAATGATAGAACTTTACGAGTGATTTCATGACTGAGTTCATATGTACTAGAAAAGAACACGTCATGTGATTATCGGAAAATCACTACAGAGTTATAATAATCGATTTATATATCCGTTTCTCCCATTATCACCTTTTGTGTGTGTGTCTCCCCGTGTACTAAAGCTATTGACGACTTGACCTTTGTTAATACATTTATTTCTCCTACACAACTGGGAATAAATTCCTACATCTAACAACCAATCAGAATGTGACGGAAATGATTATTTTCACTGTCGTTATCTGTCGTGCGTAGTGGTTGCTATTTTTCGTTAGTCTGATGGAATATTGTAATTTGTAAATGATTGGACAAGGTGAAGAGGTTATCCTCACTGGTCATACTTTTATAAACTCATGGGAAGGCGAAGGTTATCACGACATGGCTCAAAATCGTTTGCAATGGCGCAAATGCATCTAACCTTTGAGTTCTCTCTAATTCTAACCTTCTGAATTCCTCATAACCTGTATCTTTCTCCTTCTAAGTTTATCTTACTGAATCATACTTCTCGAATCATATCTTCGCTCCCTAATTTTCTCCATTACTGCTAATACTTCTGCTATCGTTATCACTCTTGGATTTGAATTGACAGTTATGTCTCTGTGCTGATGTGTTATTGCGACGTGAACTGATGTACTTACGTACGAAGTTCTGCGTTTTATCTATCTGTCTGTCTGTCTGAAGGTTATCACATCTAAATAAGCGTAATACAATCAGTTTATTGAAGGACTTCTAAGCTCCTTTTTATGCATTCCAAACAACAATTTGTTCTCACAATTTGATCACACATGGACTCCATCTTGAAACTGAACTTAAGCTAGAAATATTGTCAGTACGCTATAAAAGTATGTAGTGTACTGATTTGATTTCGACCAATTTGGTCTCGTGTGCTGTTACGGATATGAGGGGGGTTATCACTTCCCGGCTGCGCACACCGTGGGTGTTTCTTGAGGGACCTGAAAAAGAAGATAGATTAGTGTTGGTCTTGGAGATCTGGGAGCGTGAACGCAGAGCCCAAGGGACAACTGCTTAAGGCCGGTCATGCACGGCCTTTTTATGAAACGTTTCTAGAGGATTAGCTCTGTTCTTAAAGGCCCTTAGTGGGCACCCTTACCCAAGGAGACGGAAATCCGTGAGGTGTGACATTTTCAAGGTCAACCTTTTCTAACCCTTCCTTTCTTGTGAGAAGGCAGCATCGCTGCAAATGCTGCTTGTCCGAGGGAAACACCTTACTGCTGTCACACCCCTCTGCAGTAGTCAGCAGTATGACTTCGCTCTCAGACCTTGGTAAGATGCTTTTAGTCTCATTGTTCTCCAATCGACCTGTCTGGCATGGTAGAACCTTCAGGAACATGTGTTCCAGCCAGTATAGCTCGGTTGGGTCATGACGATAGGCAAGCCCGACTACCACGTCAAGTTAGCAGCTACCGTCGGGTAGCATCATCTCTTAATATATTAACCTAAGAAAATGTATGTTATGTCACCATTTAAGCGTTAGTTTCATTATTGTGCCCTGAAATATATTGATCATGTCCTAAATAATTTTTTTTTCTGTGTGTTTTGCTCTGTAGAATGGAAATGATATTGAATTGAATGTGGCACAAAGTCGTTTCATTGTACAACGTTCACATGAAGCATATCGCGGTTCAGATGACAGTGGTGAACTTATCTTTCTTGAAGTAAGATTTATCTCATGTTTTTAAAAAAGAATTATATTTCTAAGATTTAAAGTAATCGTTAGTTCTGAGTAGTGTGAGAATGGAAGGCGTATGTACATATATCGTCATTTATGATCAGACGTATATCCAATGATGTTGGTTGTAAACTAGGCTAAACTATCGTTTATAATCACGACTAAAGTCGAAAACATCTACCCTTACGGATTCTACGTTTCATTGAAAATCATGAATCGATCAATGATAGACTACTACCCTTAGAAATCTGGAAGCACTGAACTGTCTATTCGTCGTAGTATGGGATTCATCATCAATGCTCATCCACAACGCTCTCACGTCTTAGATTTAGTGAGTAGCTATGACCAGTGAAGTTCAGTCGCATGTGAGTCTTTCAGCCATCGAAAACCATGGATGACAGTCGAACAACTTGGACATTAACAAATGTCAGCAGGTCAAATGATCATCTGCAAAAAACCGAAGGTCTTGGATTCGATTTTCACTTGTGATGTCGTGGATGGTCACTGTTGAAGAGATCCATTCTAGGATGAAATGTTCGTTCCAGGCTTTAATTGATCCATTCATGGTTCCAATGAAGTCTGACAATCTTCTAAAACCCTATAATGACTATTGTGCGTAATATTTTTGAATTCATGTTTATGTGATGTGTTGACTGAACTTCCAGAAATTCACAGAACAAGCTAACTGACAAAATGATGCGTACTGATTTTGTTGGGGATGTTAGATCCCCTAAACTCGCTTGCCTTATTTTGGATTTCACGTTTGCCAGCATTGGCTGATCAGTTGACCTCGAGATTTCAATCGCCACCAGGGAAATCCATGGCTGTGATTGGCTGCTGTGTATTTTAGTGTGCTATTTTCGTAACTGTCCCAAGGACGTTTCTATGATGTATAAATTAACGAGAGTTGTGTGCTTGATTGTATTGTGATTGCTGGGTGTTTGTAGAATATACTTTCTACGCTTACAAAGACTTCTGTTTACAGCTTGGGATTCAAGGTAGCTTATCTTGGCACTGGTAATTGTCTCGTTCACTTTTATCGACAAAGGTGGACTCGTAATAGCTTCAAGCGCACTTAGTGACAAACCCTACAGATTCGCATTTTATTTATGCAATCATGAGTGTTTTCCCTAATATGCTCAACGCTATGCACTTACACTATCAAGGTTTGATTCTGACCGATTTGGTCACGTGTGCTTTTATCGGTATGGAAAAAAGCTAGGGGTGGCCAAACCAAAATATGGCGCGAATCCATGAAGTCATTGTTAACTGAACTGAACCATGTTGGTAGATGTCGACTGCCTTGTTAGTAATCGATGGTTAGAGACCTCGAACGACATGGCACAAAATCGCTTGCAATGGTGTGGGTGCATTCATTCTTTGTGTTCTCTCGAATCCTAACCTTCGGAATTCCTCACCACTGTTATCTTCTTTTTTGAAGTTCATTTCACCAGATTCTACTTCTTAAATAATATCTTCAAACCCTAAACTTCCCGATTAATACTAATACTTCTACGACCTCTACTACTATGGGATTTGAATTGATAATTGCATCTCTATGCTAATGTGGTATGGTGACTTGTACTGATGTACGTGCGTGCAAAGTTCTATGTTGCTGTTGACTGACTGAAATACACTGTCAAGAAGTTTGAAAACTAAGCTGTGGCATTTATCCAACCTGTTCAAGATGTGTTCATTATTTGTGCTAACATTCTGAACTGCATAATTCAGCCAGAAGGCGTTTGTAGAGGGAATAATTTGTTTGTAAGTAAACAAATATTCCTCTCTATATGTATATATACACATTTCACTCCCTTAGAAGATGAATCCATTTCTTGACAAATAATATGTAGTCTTTCATAAGGATATTTCTGATGGTCAATAAATAGCTTTCTCATTAAGCCACTTCTGTTTAGCTCACTATACCACACGTCTTTGTGCCTTCAAAAATAAATCCTTTTTATGTATGTTTGAATTTGTGATACACATGTCCGTCTAGTTTGAATGATAGTTTTATTCTACCATCATGTTTTCATGATAAAAGTACATTTTTGAATGTAGGGAGCGCAATAATGGATGATGGCTAATAGAGTGCATTCTTAGAGTAGAAGTACACGCTTCATATTACTTGAAATGCCGGAGATGCTAAATGTACTGATATTTGTTACGACTACACGTAAACACGTCAACTTGATATACTTGAACTATTACGAGTTTACTTAGTCGGAAAACGAGAGCGAAGATCGAGGATCCGGCGACACTACATACTACTCAAATCCGATTATCCCAGCACCCTAATATTGAGAAAAAAATAAGAAGACTTGATATGAAGTAGAATCCTGTATTCTACAAGCATCCAGAAAGTACGAGGTCCGAATCCAAAAGAGAATCAGGATCCCGGACTAGTGATCCGGGACCGAGCCCTGGTCCTGGTTGTGGTCATAAAACGTTACAGGTAATGCGTATTTATACATTTTGATCGAATAGGAAACCGCATCAAAGTCTGTGACATTCACAGTTACGACGACCAATAGGAAGCGACATATGAAGTGACATTGATAGTCAGGACAACCAATAAGCAACAACATTGGAGCACGTGACATTGTTATCTAGGACGACCACGGTATTGACCAGTAGGAATTAACCAGTAGGAATTGACCAATAATTCTCTTAGGATATTGGATGAACATCCTAACGGAACGCATTAATGGATGTTGGCTAATAGAGTGCATTCTTAGACTAGACGTACCCGCTTCATCTTATTTGAAATGTCTGAGATGCTAGATGTACTGATATTAAAACGCATACTTATTCTGCTAGTATTCCAGTATTTTGCTCGTTGATTTTGATTGGGGACGTTAGATCCCCCAGACCATACTTGGTAAAAGTCCTAATTTTGGATTTGATGTTTTCGCGTATATGGGCTGATCAGTTGATCTCAAAGATTACATCTCCCACCCACTCGGAAAATCCTTGACTGTCATTGCTTGATGCCTTATTTTCGTATGCTATTTTTGTGGCTCTCCTCTCAAGGACATTTCTATCAAGTATCAATAAATTCGATTTATATGCTTGCCTGCCTTCGGTCTCGTTTACCAAGTAAGGCAAACTCGTAAATAGTTTCAAGCATATCAAATTGACAAGCATCACATTTTCTGCTTTGCTTTGCTTTTGTTTTTCTAAGGTTTGCTCTGATTATTTGTTAATTCGTAATTTATCTGGACGTATATTAGAACGTTTATGGTATGATGAAGTGATCAATTTGACTTACAGATCAAATGCACATGTATTGTGTATAACAAGACAAATTGTTGATCATTCACAAATGGATTTATTTTATACTCGAAAAGTAAGCACATTATTGTATTGGTCTGTGATGATGATGTTTTGAACAGCATATCATTGTATGGGTATGTAGTAAATAGGTTATGGTTTTATAATTTACCATTGTTCATAATTTAAATGAAACTCACCTATCTTCTTATGCTTCACTTACCTCGGGAGTTTCATTAGTGTTGATGGCCTGGTGACGGATGAAATCTTAGCACCAATACAAAAGACTCGATTGGCGTCGCTTATGGCGTAGGCAAGATACTCGTTCGCTAATCAAGTCTACTGCACAGTAGTTCGCTCTGTTCTACTATATGGATGCGAAAGATG